ATTGTGTGGCAGTGACGGGAGGTTGCCAGAGAGGTCTGTGACACCTGAGCTACTCTCCTTTTTCATTTACTGAAGAACTCGATTCGAACTTACTCGATTACTGAAGAACAGCAGCTGGTAAGCTAATGGCATCTGTGGGCAGTTACCACAATCACAGTGAATCTAGCTTGTTTAGTAGAACTGCAGTGGGCAGCCTGGCACTGAGGCTGATAAATGCCTGCTGCTGGGACCCAGACACAGGTGGGTGCAGCATCGGCTAATCCTTCATATGAGAGGCAGCAAGCCTCTGTGAAAGGCAGCCTCAAAGACTATCAGGTAGACTGGGCACTGGCACTTGTCAGGGGAGAATGGGGAGACAAGCAGAGCAGCATTGTTGTGCCAGCAGATATATCCACTGTATGCTAGCACCTCAAAAGATGTGCTGTTCAGATTGGGCCAGCCATGTCCTGTAAACTTGGAGGTAAGAAGAGAATTAAGAAGGTTTAGGATGGTCAGATGGGCATAGCAGCATCTGGGCAGGGACAGCAAGTAGAGGCACATCATTACATGTTCAGTCATATACATAAATGGGTTCAAAGGGCAAGAGAATGGGTCTGCAGAGATTCCCCAGCACTGCTGTGCTAACAAATTGTTCTTTAAGCCTAGTGCACAAATGTCACCTCTGTGCTCTGTGTTAAGTTGCAGCTCTTGTCTTGTTTTTCCTTGAACAGACTGGATTTCTGCCCAGTGTGTTCAAAGCCAAGTCTCATCGACCTGCTGAATTCAGAGCTTTTTTTGCTTATTACAACACCATTATGAACAAAGACACAGGTAAACCATACAACCACTACATTGCCCTTCCCTATATAGATGCAAAAATTTACAGATATATTATTTCACCATGCCTTCCCCCAGCCCATAACAGTGGCTGGCAGAGGCTGGAACTGCACACAGGTGCTTCTGGCTTTGCTTGTACTGCCTACAGCTTCATACTCTTTAGCTTGTGGTTAAAGGCAGCTCGCAAGCCAAGCTCTGCTGCCTCACTGCACTGTACTCTGTGTCACAACAAAGAAAGGACAGGCTGCTGCCTATGGGAAGATGAGCTGGGAGCCAAGTGTGCTGGAAGGGCACAGGCAGAGGCTGGGGTTTCATGTGCAAGGCTGCAGCCCTAGACTATAAGAGTGAGATTAGCAGGGCCGGTCAAGCAGTAGGGACCAGGGCCAGCCAGGATTTCCCAGCCAAGTCCATGGTGACAAGGCTGATCCAAGATCAAGCCAGAAAGTCATCCTCAAACAGGTCACTCAGGTTCCAAACCAGTATGGTTACGCAGCCAGGCAACACAGTATGGCTCAGATCAGGTCACAGCCAAGGATCCAGCATAAAACAGCTCCTAAGGGAGAGGCATGTCTTTGCTGAGCCTGTCTGCAGCTCTTCCTTCACAATGGTTCTTGGCAGTGAGCAGCCCAAAGCAGTGGAAGAATTTGTGTGAGGGTGGCTGTGCCCTCTGGCACCTCATGTGCTGCATCAGGGACTTTGAACCCAGGGGTATCTGTCTCCTGCAGCAGCAGGGAGAGGAGCAAGGTGCTTGCTGTACGCTAGGATGCCTGTGCAGAGTGCCCTGGTGTAGAGGTAAGAGAGGGCTGGCTGCAGCTGCTGGACAGGGCTGTAGGGAGCTCTGCATAGCTCTCCAGCTTTTGAGGAAATGCAGTTTAGGTTCTGCCCGTTTCTCATTTCCTGTGGTAGCCTGTGGTAGAGGGCACCAAGAGGTCTCTTCTCATTGCTTTGACTCTTGAAGATACTGTAGTAAACCCCAGATTTTGTAAAATAATCTGGTGCATGCAGACTGCTCCCTCTGCATTTGGGAGGTGTGGGCTAGGGCAAGAGTGTCTCAGCAAGTTCTAGGGGCAGTGAGGAGTGCAACCTTATTGCATCTCTCACATGGTATGTGCAATCTCTGTATGAAGCTTTCTGATCTGCTTATGCTGCTGGAATGAAGCCATGCCCCTACCTGTACCAGGGTCTCTTTTTCCCTTCTCATTCCCATGCTTCCTTTTAATCTGATTTAAAGAATATAAATACTCTGGATCCCATCCTCTTGAATATTTCTCCTGCAGCATCACAGCGTTGCCGCTTTCTGAACTGAAGCAGAGCAAGAAGGCCTCTCCTGACTCCTTAACTCAATAGGTTTTAGCATTGTCTTTCATGTTCTTAGAAACACTTGTTTATGGAAATATTTTCAAAATCCAGTAAAGCAGTAGTTTTTGTGGGGAAGGCTCTTGACCTTCCCTGTGAAAGGTAGTTTTTAAAGAAAGGTAGTTTTTAAAAAACCCTTCTGCTAATTATCTTTAAAAAGGCAAAGAGCAGCAGTGGTGATGTGCAGCCAGGCAAGTTCCTCAGGTCCTGTGCACAGTCCTGTTGTGGATCTGTTTGTGAAAATAACTGGGATTCATTCTGAGTATAACAAAGCACAGTCTTCTTTTCCACAGCTTCTTTAAAGCAGTCACAGAGATAGACACTCTGTAGAAGTCACAGTTTGTCTGTCTGGTGGTCACTAGGACTACTCAAAACCACAGTCCTAGGGTACTTCATTGTTCCTTTTGTGGAGGCTGTTTATTTACTTGCTGAAACCTTTTTAGTGGGTTTTAGAACACTACACTTTTCTGTAAAAGCAGCAATAAAGTATCAGAAAATGAACAGACAATACCCTTCCTAGCCATTTGCCTTTGAGGTGTACAAAGAGAAGTACCAACTGAGCTGCCTACGCAGTGAGCAAGTAATTTTGCTCCTCTGAATTTTCCTGTTACGCAGAATTGTTGTGTACCTGTTGACCAAATCTCATGTACCTCATCCTAATTAGGTGCCACATAAGCAGCTATCCAGGTAAACTGGTTGAGTGGATGGATAATTATAGAATCACAGAATGGTTTGGGTTGGAAGGGACTTTCAAAGGTCATATAGTCCAGTGTCCCAACTGCCATGGGCAGGGACACCTTCCACTACATCGGATTTCTCAAAGCCTCATTCATCCTGGCCTTGAACAGTTCAGAGGTGGGACACCCACAACTTCTCAGCACATACCTCTCTCAGTGTCTCACCATCCTCATTGTAAAACATTTTCTCCTTATGTCCAACGTAAACATACCATATTTCAGTTTAAACCATTGCTCCTTGTCATGTCACCTGGGAGCTTTGGTTGCAGGACCCTGATTGCTCTCTGGACCCCATCTCCTATGCTGTAGTGTAGGTGCCGCTTATACACAGAGCACTCCTCTCCCTGTTTCTCTAATGGTACTTGCTGTGATGGATGTTTTAATACAAAAGTGTGTCAGATCTTTTGCTCTTCCTGTAGGAAAACTCAGCAAGGCAGACAAAGAGCTCATAATTGTGGCTACAAGTGTTGTGAACAGATGTCCCTACTGTGTGATTACACATGGAGCACTTCATCGGATATATTCCAAGCAGCCAACACTGGCTGACCAGGTCAGTAGGATTACAACAGTGTGCTCCCCACTTCCTTGGTATAGTCCTTTGGGAGGTGGGAATAGTCCTCTTGTGTCTACTTTTTCACATGAAATTTTGATCCTTAAAGTCTATATGGTTCCCAGCAATCTTGACATATCTGAGGCCCTAACTCTACCTGGCTTACTGGTGAGCAGTCAGCCCAGTAGCCAGTAGGGTAGGACTTCGAGGTAGGGGTCTATGTATTGTCATCTACCTTCCAAGCAAGATGCAAGGAGGGATGGTTGGCCTGCAGAGCATTCATGCTGCTGCCCACATTCTTTTCTGTTTTAATCTGGTTTGTGGAAGAACTTGCTAACAATGGGGAGATGATGTGTGCTGATGGCATTGGGTCATTTCAAGAACTCCTCCATAATTTGCTCAGCAAAACTGTCATAGTCCCTGAAACAAGAAGGGTGATAAAATAGATGAGTTTTCGTTTTGTTCGGGTGCTGAACCCTGCACCCTGTGTATTGCCACTCTTTGGTTTGCAAAGCAAGAGGGTCAGCGAGTTATTTTTTGCTGGGCCCATCCGTGCTGCCTCTCATTTTTGCTTTCTCATAGGTCACTGTGAACTGGCAACTGGCTGACCTGAGTGACTGGGACCTGGCAATGCTGGAGTTTGCTCTTGCAGTCTGTTGAGCTGATAGTATCACTGAAAAGCATTTCCAGAAGCTGGAGAGGCATGGTTTTGACCGCGAAGATGCCTGGGACATAGGCATGGTTTCTGCTTTTTTTTTGCTATGTCTAATTATAAGCTCATTATATTGACCTACACCCAAACAAAGAATTCTACACAATGGGCAGGGTGCTGTCTGGAGAGGAGAAGAAGGAGGAAGCTTAGCATGCCTAATGGCCCCCTGATGTCAATGCATCTGAAAGGTTGATCAAGCTCTTCATGCTCAAGCTAGTGTGGCTTATTTCTAAATCTGTAAAAGGCTTAAAAAATGCATGCCATACAGTAGGCATAAGGTACGGTGGGCTTCCCTTTTCATCAGTGTTTGAAAGTCACAGAATCCTGGAATGGCTTGGAAGGGATCAAAGCTTTAATCTTATCCAGTTCCAGCCCACGGGCTGGAGCACCGACCACCAGAGCAGGTTGCTCCAAGCTCCGTCCAACCTGGCCATGAACACTGCCAGGGGTGGGGCAGCCACAGCTTTTCTGCACGGCCTCACTAGTCCCTAGTGACTAGTCCCAGTGTGACTTCTGCTGACTGCAGCTCTTCTCTCCGAGAGCTGGAAGAGTCCAACTTTGGTGTTGGTCTTTGCCTGGCTGTGCAGGCAACAAGCTCGTTGGACCATTACGTGACTTAGCACAAGCCCTTCCGCAGCATTTTGCAGCTCGACAATGCGCGACCTAGTACACCTAGGTGTCCTGGCCGTTCCCTTAGCAGGGGTCTGGGGTTTCCTGGGCTAAGGGAGGACGAGGTGCCCGACTCTTCCTCGCTGACCGGCCGCCGCCTGCGGTGCGCTGGACCCGAGGCACGGAGACCGCCGGTGACGTGTGGCGAGGGGCGGTGCGGCACAGGCGCGGTGCCGCCTGTAAAGGGCAGGCAGCGGCGGGGCCCGGCAGTATTAAGAGTGCGGAAGCCGAGGTAGCACGGCAGGGGGTCGGCGGCAGCGGCTCTGCGGCCCCTAGGCCCGGCTCGCCCGCCGCCATGGAGCCGGCGCTGCCGCCTCCTTTCTCGCGGGCGGTGCCGGGGGCCGGCCTATTCAGGTGGCTGCGCGGGCGCTGCCTGGGCCGCAGCGCCGCCGTGGACCCCGCACGGGACACTTTCCGCGCTATGACCGGGCTTTACGGCTCCATCCAGCCCGCTGACTCCATGTATCTCAGCACCCGCACGCACGGCGCCGTCTTCAACCTCGAGTACTCACCCGACGGGTAGGCGAGCCCCTGGGTCCCTCTGCGCTGCCCGCTCCTTTCTGCTGGTACCAGCCGCGCCGGGCGAGTGGACGGGGAGCCCTCGGTGCCTGGCTGCGGGAGGGCGCGGCGTGTCTCGGGCTGCAGCAGCCCAGTCTGGCTGCGGGAGGCTCTCCCGGGTGCTGCCTAGGGCTGGGGACACTGCGCCTCGTCGGTCTCTGCTGAGGAGGAGGCCCTGCTGTAGTGACCCGAGGCTGTAGGACCGTGGGGTCCAAGGCAGCTCCGCAGAAGGAGCAGCGGGGCTGAAGCGGGCACCAGCGCTGGCTCGGCAGGCCCGGACGCGACGCCCTGGCGCTGCGCGGTGGCTGCACCCGGCCGCGGTTCCCGCTTGCTGTCACAGCGGCAGCCCGGCACGCTGCAAGCGGCGTGGCTGGTGTTTAACCCCGGGCATTGCAAACAGCAGGCACAGGACGGCACGAGTGGAGCAGAGAGCGGTAACAGGGAGAACACTCCAGTATGGGGTGCGCTTCCAGTGCCCGGCGGTGTGCCAGCTCCTTTCTGTGGGAGAAGGGGAGGCGATAAACGGGCACACGGTTGAGCTCAAGGCGGGGGCAGCCCCTTCTTTGTTCGTGTCAAATGTCTTCAGACACCGAAGTTTCTGTTTGAAATGTGATATTTATTCATTTAGGGTTCTGTGAATACTATGGGTCTGCACTGACAGATGAGTTTAGACACTTGTAGCAGGGTAGACAAAAGCAAGTGACAGTTGGACTCGTTTAGAATAAAATAAGCCCTTGCACACCAGCTTAAAGCAGAGTGCAGTTCAGAGATATCTGCACAACTGTATAGTGCAGTGTGCTTGTAAGTGAAGTTTTCTCACAGAAAACTCTGCAGAAAGACCTTGAAAACAAGGGTGGTCTCAACAGGTATTTTTCAGTTTGGATAGTAAGAATTGAGATCTTTGTTACCCTTAATGGCTAGTCAGCTGCTCCATTCACATTTCATCAGAACAGAGTTCTGGTTTCCTTGAACACCTACCCTGTGATGTTTTTGCCATAGTTGTCCATTAAAGACAAGTTCCAACTCCATATGTATTCCTCTGTTTTTTGAAGAGGACAAAGTTAAGCTCCAGAAACTATCAAAACCATAATTGGGTGACTGTTGCTGGGAAGTAATTTCTTTTGTACATTCAGGGTGTCCGGGGCTGCATCAAAAGGAGTGTGACCAGGGTCGAGGGAGGGGATTCTCCCCCTCTGCTGCGCTCTGGGGAGACCCCTCCCTGCAGTCCTGTGTCCAGCCCTGTTTCAACAACACGAGGGATGTGGAGCTGTTGGAGCAAGTCCCGAGGAGGCCACAGAGATGCTGCAAGGGCTGGAGCAGCTGTGCTCTGGAGACAGGCTGAGAGAGCTGGGCTGGGGCAGCCTGGGGAAGAGAAGGTTCTGGGAGACCTTAGAGCAGCTTCCAGTGCCAAAAAGGACTGACAGAAAAGCTGGAGAGGAGCTTTGGACAAGGACCTGTAGTGACAGGACAAGGGGGAATGGCTTTAACCTGACAGAGGAAAGATACAGATTAGAAACTAAGTTCTTGACTGTAAGGGTGGTGAGGGACTGGCACAAGTTGCCCAGATAAGCTGTGGCTGACCCATCCCTGACAGTGTTCAAGACCAGGTTTGACAGGGCTTGGAGCAGCCTGGGTCTAGTGAAAGGTGTCCCAACTCAAAACCATTCTGTGACTACTGGGGAAGAGTGCTCTCCTTTAGAGTTTGGTTTAAAAATTTTGCTCCTGAATTTACAGTCTGAATGTCATCTTTATGCTGATTTTGGGTGGATGCCAAACTAAATAGCCATTGAAGTCAGTGTGACAAAAAGAGATGAGGAAAGCGTATGTCTTTGCCCTGGAGAATTTGGTGGTTGCACTTCAGCACTGGCTGCCTGTTACAAAGAGGTGGTGTAGCTGGAGTAACATCTGTAAAGGTCTTAGGAGAACACTATTCTAGTTAATGCAGTGACAGAGTATAAGTTATATGGAGGTGGCTCACAGCTGGTTGGTTCACACACACGAGCAGGCTGCCAGCACTGGCTGCTGCAGTGCAGTACAGCATCTTTCAGACCCTTGCATTTTACAGAGCTCTTCAACTTGTCTTCTGACACCCCAAAAAGCAAACTATGGTGTCTCAGAACTCTGCAAAAATTGTTGCCATTCAACAGGTGTCAGAGGAATACCATGACATGGGCACAGTCAGATGGGAAGGCTGCAGTAGAATGTTCAGAGTGGATGCCTTTCCACTTATTCCTGGGTGCTGTTGTCTTTTTTTGTTTTTTGTTAGTGTTGGGTTGGGTTGGGTTTTTTCCCTGCAAAATCAAGCAGGTATCCTCACATGAACAAAGCAGTGGGTTTCATGTCAGAGCTTTATTCTTTTTTTCCCAAGACAGGAACCATTAGGTTCATGCACTTCACTGCACAAATCGGCCTCAAGTAACTTATAAATAAACTCGCTGATGTTAATACTTTTAACTGTGTGATTTAAATAATGTCATCATTGGATCTGGGAACTGTATAGCTATTATAAAAGAACCACCTTATATTTATTTTTTTTTAAGTGGTTTGAAAGATGATGTGTTCTGTCCAGCAAATGCGTCAGCTATGCATTAATTATGCCAACTGCCAGGCAGAAGGGTCATGGTCTCTTGAAAAGGGAGCTAGAAGGTGATTTCTCTGGAATAAAACAACATGCTATTTTCTTCTGTGTGTTTTGTGTATTAGGCACTTGCGAATAGGCATCTGCAAGAAGGCATTAAAAAAAAAGTAAACACTGCAGATTAGTGCAGTGTAAGCAGAAAACCAAGCTAAGTAATGGTGAAGCTGTGTTTCTGTGAGAATAGGGAAGGGAGGTTCACTGGATACCCAGAGATCTCATTTCTTTTACTAAATACAAATATTTCTGCTTTGCCTTCCTCCCCTGCAGGTCAGTGCTGACTGTTGCTTGTGAACAGACTGAAGTACTGCTTTTTGACCCAATATCTTCAAAGCACATCAAAACTCTCTCTGAAGCTCATGAAGACTGTGTAAATAATATCAGGTAAGTCAGAAGGAATATTTTGTCTTACCATAGATGCTTTTCTTGTGACAGTGTGGTAAGTTTGTGTTATATGCATTCTCGGAGGGTGCGGGTTTTGTGAAGCTGTTAGGCTGCAGTTTGCTTTGTGCCATTTTTCTTCTTTTGGGTATTGGAGGTGCGGAAAGGCTGAAGAGGGGAAGAAAAGGAACCTGAAAGTGATGGTAGCGGTATGCAATGCTGTCAGGTACTGCAGTTTATGGGAGGCAAGAGTATTAAGCTGTTGTATTATCACCTGTTTAAACTGGCCTTTGGAATGCCTTGAATGAATGTGGTAAATCAGAACATAACAAGTAGCATGTGATTTACGTTTGAAGTGCAAGTCTGAGACCATAAAAAGATTAGGTATTTGTATAAATATGGCTGGTATTTTGAATTTTAAGAGTAATTGGCACAGTTGCATAGAAATTTCCAGGGAAAGATTGTCTGCTTTAAATGCAGGTATGGTATGGAAGAGCTGGGAAAGTGAAATGGCTTCTGCAGTTCAACTTGAACTCAGTCTGTGTGATTTAAATCCACTGACTCAGGATGAAATAGGAAATGGCAAGTGCAGAAACCTAAATCATCAGTATTTTTGTCATCTAATGTTTTTCCTTTCAAATTCTATTATTTTTAGCTGTTTTGGGTCTGAGGGTAGACTTTGGAATGTGAAATTAAGGCTCTTTTTGACCTTGTGAACAATATTGTAGCCTCTCTTCACTCAGATCCTCAAATAAAGAGTTAAAAAAAACCCCAAACCAACAGAACAAAACCAAAAAAACTAAGCCCAAACCAAAAAGCCCTCAAGAAATCCACAGAAGTAGTCTGAGAGTTTCTCCTCGACAGAGGGGGATAAAATAAGAGGCCACAGTGTCTTCACATAAACTGATGTATTTGCCTGCTTTAAACACATATTTACAGGTATACTGGTGTTTTTCACAAGCTCTCTGTCCTTGCTAGAAGAGACTGAAGTTTTACATCATTTGGATGTCTTTCAGAAAAGCTAATGTAAAAGCTGGGGCTAGCTGACACAAATAAAAGAGGAGATGTTTAGAACATGCTTTTCCCTATGGAAATATGGCTTTTTGTCTTGCCTGACAGTGGTTGTCCTTTAAACATGCTTAGTTTTTAGGTAAAGCAAGGTGAGAAATAAAGCCACCTATCAAATTGCACACTTCTATTGGATGATTCCATAAATTTGGGCAGCTTGTGCCACTTGAATCTGCTACTTCCAAAGATGATCTGGAATTCTTGTCCTGAGTAGTGCTCTGTGCACTCGCACTTTGATACATGTACCTGTTTTTGTGCATTTGAAAAGCCCAACTTCAGTGTGCCTGCTTCAAATGCATGAACTGTAGTGTGGGGAAAGGAAAGGCGGAAACATAGGCGCAAAATCCCCTTGCTTTTTGATGGACACTGTTTAGACTGCCCAGGTGGTATAAAACCTTCCTGAGTGCAGGAGGTCTGTATGGCTCCTCCTAGCAGTGAGCAGTTGCTCATGGAGCATTGTGTTGCTGGACAGGCATCCGAAGGAAGAGATGGGCAAAGGTGAAATGAAATTCAGAGTCTAGGGAAACGTGCAAACAGTGGTAGTGTTCAAATTTCAATTTCCTACATGTTTCCAAGATAGTAATACCATGTGTAGTGTAAACCATGTAGTTAGTAATGTGAGCCATACATCAGACAGTTAATCTGCTGGATTAAATCTCTTGGAAAAACACTGTTGTGTGTCCTGTGTAAAACCATGGGGCCAGCTTCTTAGCATGGTCAGTGCAGACGTGTGCCTCAGGAGGTCTGGTTGGAAAGGGCCTCTGAAAATCCTGTAACAGGCTTCAGGTAAGAGAAGACTTTGGTTTGCCTCACTGGCACATCAATAAGCCTGGCACTGAGTGTTTCCAGCACAAGTGGTTCCACTGCTGTCTGGGCTGCACTGGCTAGGCACAGTGTTTGTAAAAGCAGGTCCTATTGCAGTCTTTGCAACAAAAGTGTTGCAAAGTGTTTTTGTGTTCTGCCTGTGCCAGTGATGCAAAGATATGGTGAGAGCCTTCAGCAGGGGCTGACTGCGTCAGACGCTGAGCAATGATGTGTGGCACGGAGCAGGCCTGGCAGAGGGGGAGCATTCAGGTGTTAGTTAAAGGAGGCTTGGACATTATGTGTTTTGGCTAAGCTAATGGGTTATGTGCCATATGGGGCAGCAAGGCTTAAAAACACTAGAGGCCTTCTAGTAGCAAGGAAAGTGATCTGTCTGTTAAAAACTTTCTGTGACTGCAGAGAGCTTATGCCTGTGGTGGGGAAGAGAGGAAAATCTGCAGAATAGTAGGGGAAGAATGAGGGTGGATATGTGGGTAGAAATGAAAAGAGTAAAGAGCATTGGTTTAATTATGATCCAATGGGTCCTTGTGTAGTCAGAAATTTAGAATTGCTGTGTCTTCTGGTGCTGCCTGGCAGTAGCAGCAATAGGATCTGGCAAAAATGGGTTAGAGGCATAAACCACATTCAGCTCAGGCTAGCAGACCTTTACTGCAGAGACTGCCAGACCAGTCAATAGGAGTATCTTGCCAGTGGTCTAAAAACTGACCAGTCATGTCCTGTGTGTCATATGAAGACCTGTTAAGTTTAAAGCTGAGCATTGTCCAGATAGGTAACTGATATATTTTTTCCACTAGTGGTTGTGTAGATGTGTGATCTTTACATGATTCGTTAAAAAAAAAACCCAAAATGAACTCTGCTATGCATCTACAGGCTTACTAGTTTACTACTACAGATGTACTACTGGTTCATATCCCAACAGCACTATTTTGTGATGGAACTGTTCTGTTGGCAAACATTCTGCTGTATCTACTATCTGTTCCGGTGTTTTGTGGGTGGTTTTTTTGTTGGGTTATTTTTTTTTTTTGGTTCTGTTTTGGTTTTGGGGGGATTGTTTAGGTTTTGGGGGGGGGGGGTTGATTTGTTGTTTGTTGTTTGTTTTTTTCTCTGTGGCCACTGTATTTCTTGTGTTAGCTTAAATTCCTGCTTAAGCATATTTAAGTTAGAAAAGGCACTAAGCAGGCACAGTATTTCTTTCTTATTTTCAGGTTTCTTGATAATCGACTGTTTGCAACTTGTTCTGATGACACTACAATAGCACTTTGGGATTTAAGAAAGCTGAACACTAAAGTGTGTACTTTACATGGTCACACCAGCTGGGTTAAAAACATTGAGTACGATACCAATACAAGGTTACTAGTAACATCAGGATTTGATGGAAATGTGATCATCTGGGACACAAACAGGTACGTGGCTGTGTTCATGCTGTTATGTTTCTGTTCATGTTCTTCACATTCTATTCTGTTCATGCTGTTATGTTTCTAGAAGGATAGAGTTATTCTGTACAAGACATGCTTTCTTGCATGGTGCTATACTGTGTTCATAAATATCATGATCAGTTTATAGCCCTTATCAAGAATTTGAATCTCCATTATATGGTTATTGTACAGTAGCTAAAAAGAGCTTTTCTTGCTGATGTGCCAAAATGTAGTTCTTCCTTTTTGAAAAAGCTCTGTCTTCATTGTTGTGATAGAATGAAAATGTGATTTCTGCCATTTCATTCAAATCTCATTAAGTAGGATAAACACAGTACTCAGAAAAGTTTTAGGATGAACAGGGATGCTTAGTATATTTTTGACTGTTCTGGAAGTTATTAGGGACTTCAGGCAAAGCTAATTCCAGCCATTTCTTGTGCTTTTTTTTTTTTTTTTTTTTGCTGTCAAGGTGCACAGAAGATGGATGTCCCCACAAGAAGTTTTTTCACACCCGTTTTCTTATGCGAATGAGGCTGACGCCAGACTGTTCCAAAATGTTGATCTCAACCTCCTCTGGGTATCTTCTGATTTTGCATGACCTTGACCTAAACAAATCTTTAGAGGTTGGTAGCTACCCAATTTTAAGAGCGAGGAGGACTACTTCATCAAGTTCAGGTGAATGCTTTTGGAAAAATGTGTGGCAGCTTCTGTGTTAGAGGTGTTTTATGGGATATTCTTAGCTATCAAAAGAAGTCAGAGATGGAGTTGGCAGAATCCTGCCAAGGAACCCTTTGGCATGTTAGCTGTTCTGTTGTTCAAGGATCACACATCTGTGCTGTTGAGTGGTAATTTTCGGACTTAGGTGGAGTTCTAGGGTGATTTTTGATATCAAGATTGTAGCACTACAGGATATAGTGCCCATGGAGTTTTGTTATCTCAAGCTGGCCATCTTTAGCTTTATTTATGTTCGGTTCTTGTCCTGTAACAAAAGAAATTAATCCATGTTGAGAGAGCTGACTCTGCATGAGCTCCAGCAACTAATATTGACTGCTGTGTAGTAGTGTGGTTGCTCTTAACAGCAGACCTGGAAGAACTGCATGCTCTGAAATTTCACTGCTTGCTTCCTCCTGCTTTGGGACAGTAATAGAGTAAAATAGTGACAGAAACTGCCATTTGGGGTGTCTGGATATGAAAGGAATGGCCTGGAGAAAAATTCTTACCCAGTTTCTAGCAGAGACAGTGTATAAGAAGGAAGGAATACAGCTTGGCTCTTACTCCCAATAGAGTCCTGTGGTGGCAGTTTATTTGTATGAGGCACAAATAGAATGGTACTTTTAGACTATAAATTGAGCTTTGGAAAGTATTTTCTTAACAAGATGCCTTACCATTTACTTAACACTTCTAAGGAGGGTTAAGTGAACAACATGCACAGGATGTGGACTGTGTTAAGCTGTTATGTTCACATGGCTGATGCTGTTTGCAGATGTAACTTCATCAGGTTCCTCTGGTCCTCGAGCTGTTGGTTCACCATGTCACCAGAATGATTCAGGTCCACTGTCTGAGAAACATATGTCACGGTCCTCCCAGCGAGAAGGTAGGAAAAGACTTTTAAAAAGTAAAAAATCATGGACTTGCGGTCATTGTGTCCAGAAGAGGCGAAAGTGTAATAGTGAAATACTGTGGGTTTGGCTCTTAAGACTTTTTTAAAAGAGTAGTGTTCCTATGACTTCTATTAAACCAATAAAATACCATTGCACACCAAATCTGGGCATCTATTTTATTTTTTTTTCCCCAAGAAATCTGATAACAGCAACAAGATCTTTATTTTATCTGATTATGTGATTTTTATGTAGAAGAACAAAAAAAACCCCACCCAACTCAAAATCAGCAGTAGACTGATGAGGAAGGTGAAGATCAATGTCTAGACTTCATTGATACTTCCAGTTGACTTCCCCTTCTAGGTGGATCACCTAGAAATAGTTTGGAGGTCTTAACACCAGAGGTTCCTGGAGAAAGAGATCGAGGCAATTGCATTACGTCACTACAGCTGCATCCAAAAGGTTGGGCTACGCTTCTTCGATGCTCAAGTAATACAGATGACCAGGAGGTAAAACAAATATTTTTTGATTTCTTTTTTCGTTGTTTGGGTTTGTTGGTTTTTTTTTAATACATTGAGATGTATTGATCACAAAACTATATTGACATTTCCTTGTTTTGTGGGTAAATTTAATTAATCCCAAGCAAAAACACAGGCTGGGCAGAGGCTGTTTTGAGAGCGGCCCTGAGGAGAAGGACTTGGGGTTGTTGGTTGACGAGAAGCTTCTCATGACCAGGCTTCAGTGTGCACTTGAGTGCAGAAACCCCACATGTGATGGGCTGCATCCCCAGATTGTGAGATGCAGGTCAAGGGGGAGGAGGGATTCTCCCCTTCTGCTGCGCTCTGAGGAGATCCCCCATCTACCGTCCTGTGCCCAGGTCTGGGCCACCAACATAAGAGGGATGTGGAGCTGTTGGAACAAGTCCAGAGAAGGCACATCTCCTATGAAGACAGGATGTGAGACTTGTGTTTTTTCAGCCTGGAGAAGACTCTGGGCAGACCTTATTAACAGCCTTCCAATACATAAAGGGAGCAACAAGAAAGCCAGAGGATTTTTTTGTAAGAGCAAGTAGTGATAGGACAAGGGGGAATAGTTTTAAACTGACCAAAGGGAGATTGAGATGAGATCTTAGGCAGTTCTTCCCTGTGAGGGTGGTGAGACACTTGCACAGGTTGCCCAGAGAAGCTGTGGCTGCCCCATCCCTGGCAGTGTTCAAGGCCAGGTTGGATAGGGTTTGGAGCAGCCTGGTCTAATGAAAGGTTGCCCTCCTTATGGCAGGGGGCTGGAACTCGGTGAGCTTTAAGATCCCTTCCAACACAAACCATTCTATAAGTCTGTGATAAAATTGCATTTGAATAAATTAGACAGTTATTTCTGCTTACAAATGTGTTTAATTTTAGACCAAAATGAAAATTTTTTTTTTTTTTTTTTTTAATGGCCTCATACAACTTTTTATCCTGAATTCAGTACTTCTGTTCCCAGTTTTTCCACAAAATACAGTTTATGGCTCTGCGAGAACTTTTCAAATAGTAGTTGTGCTGTGAAATGCATGACTTAAAAATACACACCTGCCAAAATATAGGAGATGTCAGCTTGGAAAAGACAGAGGATTGGACAGTTGTGTACTGGTGAACATGGTTTAAGTTGAGCAGAGAAGCTCCTCTGAATTCAAGTGCCTTTGCAATTTTTTCTGCCTCCCAGGATGAAGTGCTCCTGCTGTGCTGATGAATGCTTTCCAAAGGCTGCTCCTGCACTGCTGTGAAAAAAATCTCATGGCATATTTCTGCATCTACTTAAAACTGCCACAGTGTAGGACTGAGTATGGTGAACTCCAGTGATGTTTATGTAATGTCAAAGTGCCTTGATCTCAGCTCTCACCCTAAAACTCTGCAACTTAAATATAAATTGGATATCGCTCATCTTCGTGGCAGAATCCATTTCAAGCCTTTACTTGAAGTACTAAGTCATAAGACCAGCTACAGCTCATCTGCAGCTTGCAGATTTCACTTCCTAAAACACTGCTTTAAAGAAGTAATGGCAGACTTTAAGGCCTATGATTGATTATGTTTCTCAAATTGTTTGTGAAGTGTCACATCATTGCTGCACTCGGACCCTGTTTAAAGACAAAAAAGCAGTGTCTAATGCACTCAGAAATATTGAAAAAACCCTGACTTCTCATGGACTGTATACAAAAAGTAAGAATCTCCAGGTTTGAGCACCTGCTCTTGAAGTTATCCAGGTTAACTCAAGTTCACTTGTAAAGCCCAGGCAGAGCCTTCAGAACATGTGGATTTTTCCACGTGGTCTTAGGGTTATATCAAAAGTAGTGCTGTGACAGTTGTGCAGACCACTCTGTTTTCAAGACACAGAGGTTTTACATTTATTTGCCAAAATCACAAATAATTATTTGAATACTTGACTTTAGTTAATAGTTGATGTAAATTTGGGTTGGTTTGGTTTGGGGTTTGTTTGGGGGGGGATGTGTTTTATGGGGGGTTCTGTTTTGTTGGGTTTGTTTTCTGTGTTTTTTTGGGCTGTTTCTGAAGAAAACCACTGTTTGTAATGGTAACCTGATAAGGTGTGTAGAGGACTGAAAGGAAACTCAGCAGATCAAACCTCTATAACAACACAGAATTTTGAGAGTGAAAATATTATATTGGGTTGGTTGATACTGATGATTGACCTAGTTATAGTTTCCTGTAGTGCTACTGTCTGCCTAGTATCTAATTAATACTTAATTAGTATTGTTCCCTTTGTGTTTATTTCAGTAGCATACATGGTAGAGGACTAAGAGCACTCGTATGGTGGTTGAAGCTGAATCTGTGAACATGATACAAACTTTGTCATAGAGCTGTTTTTGCATTTTGTTTGAGATCAACTGATTTGGATATACATTAAAATTCCAAATCGTCTCTGAAGTAACAAGATGGCTATAGAGCTGTTCGTAACACTCCTTCAAAATCTGTTTCCCTCGTGTTTTTAAGATTTCTTTCTTTTTGAAGTTAAGGGCACAAAATGCCTATGGTCAATTATAAATTACAGTAGGCAGAGTTCTACTTTATTATAGAATTCATTTAAATGTATACTAAATTAGAGTAGATGCCTGGCCAAAGGATTAGGCTTTGCTCATTTCAGATAAAAACCAGATTTTAAAGGATTATATCTAGCATCCATTTAATTATAAAAGCAGCTTTGATGCTAGACAGCTGTTTTGCTTAGGCAGTTCAAAGCACTAGAGAGGTCCAGGAACTGACCTGTTTTCAGTGTTTCATAGTAGATGCTTATTGAAGAGTAGACAAGCAATAGCATTGCCTGTTTGTGTTACTCAACATGTCACAGGAGGGAATGAGTATTTGCAGTGGTTTACTTTTCTTTCAATGTTCCTTTCTTTGCCTCTCCCTTTAGTGGACTTGTGTCTATGAATTCCAGGAAGGAGCTCCTGTGCGCCCTGTCTCGCCTCGTTGTTCCCTGCGGTTGACTCATTGCATTGAAGAAGCCAACGTGGGCCGAGGTTACATCAAAGAACTTTGTTTCAGTCCTGATGGCCGCATGATTTCATCCCCGCATGGCTTTGGGATCCGTTTGTTGGGGTTTGATGCACACTGCAGCGAACTTGTTGACTGTTTGCCCAAAGAAGCCAGTCCCCTGAAAGAAATCCGTTCCCTCTACTCTCACAATGATGTGGTACTGACAACCAAGTTTTCTCCAACACACTGTCAGATTGCCTCGGGGTGCCTTAGCGGACGTGTTTCTCTGTATCAGCCAAAATTCTAGGCACATCTTGCATCAATGGGACCTTCACGTGGTTGTGGGTTTTACTTCAGTTTAGTTGGAGTGTGTTCTTTCTGAAATCTCCAAATCCAGATAAGATCATGGTTACTATGATCTCCGAACACAATAGTAGAATGAGTTTTCAGCCCAGCACTGTATGCATTCTCATAGTGCATCCACAAATCTGCTTCCATGCGCTGTATTTTCAGCCTTCCAAGCAGACCTCTGATCCTGTGCCATCAGGTCATTGTTCTGGTTTGTTTGTACCATACTACTTGTTGATAATTTCTTTCAATGCAAATTCAAGTGGGCTATTTGAAACTAACGTAGAGGGGGCAAAGGCAGCAGTTCAGCCAAAACTCAACCAGGATCCACAGGTACAACACCTCCTTGTTTCAAAGAGCTGGACTTCTTCACGTAAACATCCGTGTACACATTGCTGAAACTACTATATGGTGATTATTAGATAAGGAGCTACTTTTCTGTGTAATAACACAATTAGTTACTGTCACAAAAAAAAAAGGTTTTTCTCATTTATGTATTCAGTTGTGATTGGCTAGAAATTTCTGTAAAGTTTTGCTACCCTTAAAGCATATGGTTTCCTGTGGTTGCATATAATGTGTTTATTGCCAGAAGGAAGAGGTTCTGTATAGAGATGTAGCTGCATTTCTTTTCTCCAGGGAATTTAGTAAGAAAAGACTGGGGCAGTGAAGCAGGAGTTGAATGGGTGAAGACCGTGCCCTCTATCCACTGCAGACAAATTGGATGTTTTGTACAGTGGGGGTGTTCTTGGTTGGCCTCTTTTAGGCATATGTGACTCCTCAGCCTCCGGGGTTACTGTTGTAAGGAGCCTTCTGCATCAGTAGCATAAACCTCCATCCTGCGTTTAAAACTTAACACTGCAGAATTTTCTGCTGATGTTAAGGCTGTTTCCCACCTGACTGTTCTTCCACATCTTGCCTGCACCGTTGCTGTGAGAGGAATTCATCTAGGATATATTCCATAGTATCACCAGGTAGACTTTTTTCACATGTACTGTTTTGGAATGGATTAAAAGCATGCCTGTCTACAGTAAGATCTATTTGGATTTAACTGGGCTTTTCATACAATGTGAAAAACATTAATGTTTACCATTAAATCATATACAAAGTATGAATGCTAAGTTTTAGCCCTTGAGTTAATATAGCTAACCTTGTAAGTAGTTATTTCAGTCTTGTACATCCAAATCAGTTTATAATATTCTCATTGCTTGTATGTTCCAAAATGTGGGTTGGATTTTTTGTTGGTTTTTTTTGTGGGATTTTTAGTTCTTATTTTTGTGTGTGTGTGTGGTTTGGTTTTGTGTTGGGTATTTTTTTGTGTGTATTTCACTAAGGTTTTGCTGCTGCTCAGTTCAGCAGGAAACCTTATCTAAAAGAGACCGTCATATTTTGATGTTCAGATTTCAGTATCTCTGACTCAACAGAGCATGCTTCTTTACAAAGCCTTCTATGAAACACATGTCCAGGGAAAAAGAAGACATTGGTGAAGGTGAGATAGCTGAAAATACTTAAGCCTGATGATCCTTTCGTAGTTTTGAATTTGTGTAGATAGCAAATATGACTGCAATGTACACTGGGTGTTGGTGGAGCAGTCATTGAAACTCAAGGTTCTTGTGCGTTATGAGAAAAATAATTTAATTTTCAGCTTGTGGAGAAATCGTTTAGTATTAAAAAGCCTTCAATATTGCGCATTTGGTAATCTGAGGACTCAGTTACTCCTGCATTAGGTTTTCAGCATGTTTATCATGTCTAGTAGTCTTTCTGCATCTGACTGATGCACTGTCAGCACAGCTGACAGATTTCTGGTTTATTGTTTGGTAAAAATCCTAACTTTTGTGTTCTCATGAGTTTTAGCAGAATGATTTGGTGACAGTATCTCAGTAGAACATTATCCCAGCTGGAGGAGGAAGAATAGTTTTTAAAGTAAATATACTCAGTTAACTTAAAATGCAAATGAATGCCCATAATCTTCCCAGCAACTTGTAAGTAGAAATGTTACAGAGCATATCTTCTGAGCAATTTTGTTGCTGAAACTATTGTCTTGAACTCAAAAGTAGATCAAGGAAATAATAAATAGAGATGGAGATGTCCCATTTTCTGTAACAGTGACTCTGAAGTTCAAGCACTTGCACCTTTTGAGTACGTTTGGTACTCTGTGCAAGGAATACAATTCACTTTAAGTTAATTGCCCAAGCCATGAAATACCTAAATAAAATATGCAAGTGTATCTGAGACCAGTTATAAATACATCACTGGAGCCCAGCTCCTTTTGCATGCATATAACAGCCTGTGATCCAAAACCACGTATGGGGCAACTTGGATCTGCTGAGGGGCAACTTGGATCTGCTGATTTGTTAGAAAGAGTTCAGGGGAACTTCTCTCATCTGTGACTTAAAAGCAGTGGAAGTGAAGTGTGCACCAAACTTGAGGCTGTTTGTGGAACACAAGTTTGTTATGCAAAGGAGGAGCTAAGCTGTTTGCAGGGGGACCCACACCAAACAGAACAAAACCCACGAAACTGTTAACTGTGTGGCAAAACTGCGTACAGTGTTCCTGGTATTAGACCAGTGGAAGTGCTAAGTTACATGTGCCTGGAGTATTTTGAAACAGAATGCGTTGTGACTGTATGAACATTTGCATTTATCTGCACTCCCCTCCATTAAAATTTGTTGCCTGTTAGTGACAAACGGGTTCTACCCCTATCACTGCAGTGGACTATGATGACTCTTCCCTAAGCGCTTGCTTCTAGGCTGCTGTTTTCTCGCCTCACTGTTTTACTAAACACCATTGAAGGGACTACAGGTAACTGAAGATATCTTACTGTTCTCATAGGCTTGAACTGTGTTCATTTTGGAGGTAAGCAGCACACAGGAAATCAGAGTTCTTAGGTCTGTTTGTTCGTTTTCATGGCTGGTTTTGTTTTTTCCTCTCAGAAATTCCTTGAACTGGTAGACTTTAATTCTATGCCTGTTAATGTGCACTGAGTGTTACTTTTTTAATTCTACCTCATGATCCACTGTTTTTTACAAGAGTATTGTGCTGAAACATTGGATACTAACTTTTCTGTATAAATAAATTTTACTCCCAAGTGACATGTCATCACAGCACTGTGGCTTGACCAGCCTTGCCCAGCTCTGGAAACCAGAGCCGCTGAGCAGGAGTGTAGGATTGATGCTAAAAGTTGACATTGATCTGATTAAGGGGTTTGATGGTAACACTGATGTTTTTGTAACGTATCCAGCAGATGCATATTAATTCTCTCCATGTATGCTGTAGAAATGTTACTTAGTTCTTCTGATTATATTGGTAGTAAGTTGAATTAGAATAAGTAAGTAATACTAGGTTTTGATAATTTGATTATTCCCTTTTAACACAACTTGGAAGTTTTCAATGAAAGTTCATTTACTTTACCTGTGAAGTTCAAGCAACACTTACTGAAACACTGTTCAGTAGTTCATAACTGATACGCTTTGCAGTTGCAGGCTTATCATAACTGATACGTCTTTCCACTGTCTTGGTGGAAAGAGCGATTTTCAGTTATTTCTGAATAGTATTACCTTAATGAAGTAATTTGCTGGTGAGCTTTGGATTATTTCTAGATAGTAAAAAAAAAAAAAAAAAAAAGGTTTATCTTGCTGTTACGTTTCAAAAGTGAATTCTTAACCTTCCATAAATATATAAACCTGAAATAAATACAAAAAAATGTTTCAAATAGTAGGTGAAAGACTGCACAGACTGCACTAACAGCTAAGTAAGCTATTGACTTACGTGAGAGATTTCTTTAAAATGTTTACTTTTGACCACTCAAGTGTTTATCACTTGATAGATTTTACAGTATTTATACTGAGTAAGAGATCTCAATTTGATTGTAAAGCATGTAGTATGTTTTTTAAATGGATGGTTTCATGTTCGTTAATTTCTGTAGTAAAAGAATTCCTCCATTCACAGCAGGGCTGATCAGCAAAAGCAGATAAACTGTGTGATTAAGATCTCTACAGGAATGTCAACATATAGCAGCAATGACAGGAACCAAACCCATGTCTGAAGCTGGTAATCTTCCGTAATAGTCCAGTGACTGTATGTTGTGAGAGAAAATGCATTTTTTGAGTATTCCATTAGAGTTCAGTCTGCAAATCACTACAGCACTGTTGGACGTTTGTGGGTAGGGTGACAAACTATTAATGGGACTGTAGAATGACATTTGTGTATATGTACTTTATCCGTATGAGGTATAATTTCATTTCAGCATGTATGCAGCCATGGGGCATGGGCCCACTTGTCAAACATGGGTAGTTCAGGGAAAAATGTAACCTCCAAACAGAACTATTGGGGATAGAAAGAAAAGCACAGTGATATAGACAGACACACACACACACGTTTGTTTGCACTCTTGTAAGTCTTGGTAAGGACAGCTGGATTGCCTACTACCAGAATTAGAATGTATGCATCAGGTTCTTCCAGAGTTTTGGGGATGGTGTGGTTGATTTTTGTGGTTTGTTTGGTTTTTTTTGTGTGGTGGTGGTGATTTGGTTTTGGTTTTTAATTTGGGTAACTGATGTGGAAGTGGTCCTGATAGCATAAAATATGGGTTTGTTGCTTTATGAAATATGAACTCTTGGAAAAAAGAAATACTCTTGCCAAATGAAAGCTTTTTAAAAATCTAGTTTACAAGATTCTAAAAAGTTGGAGTAAAAGAGAAAAGTCAACAGCCTGCAGGAAAAAGAAACTTCTCATTTCCTGATCTTAGTCAAAGGTGCATTTTTCTAAAGCACTAAGTAACTTCAGTTAAGGTTTTTATTACAAGAATAAATTGTGCATGTAGAATATTTTGAAATATCTGAGATTTCATAGTAAAAATTGTAGCCTTTTAATATAGTATAGGAAGTACCACACCTGCTCTTAAAATATTGTACTTACAGTCGTACAGTAAGTTACTATTTGTGGACAGTTTCTCTTGCTTGCATAATAAATTAAATATTTAATAATTCACTGAATTAAAATCTATTTTAATGTATTTATCTCACACCGAGATGTGTTTTGTGATGCTCACTGGTTCTTGCCTACTCCTTACAACTAAGACTTTTGCTTACAGCAAAACAACCTCTGTACACAGGTCTCTTCCCCTCCACCGGTTTCTTTGCTATTGTCCTTACTGTTGAGCATGCTTGTAAGAAGAAACAGTTCACTCATGAAGCCCAGAAAGCAGAACACATACTGGGGCTAGTGTGATAATTACAAACTAAGTACAAGTAACTATTCCATTGCCTGAGGCAGTACCTGTGGGGTGGCGAGCTCCTTTCTAATCCTTGAAGACAGCATTGCTGTTCTTTGTAAAACTGCATTCACCTGGTGAGCAGGCAACTATGTCCACGGGGAACAGCCTAAGACTGAAAATACCCTGTCTGCTTTGCCATGGATAGCTGTATCTGAGGCAGAGGTTTGTGGGCTGGCTGTGAGGAGTGACACACTGCCCTCTTCCTCTTGCAAAGGTTTGGGCTCCAGTAAAGCCACTTGTCATTAGCCACAGCAAAAACAACATCTGCACGAAAACTGAATTCTGCCTCATTATCACCTAAAGAGCTGATAAATGTCACAGTGTCATGCTGGACTGATGGAGCACATGGGGCACTGGGCACTGAAGGTACATTGCACACATTGTTACCTGCAGTTTTCTGTAAATGAGGCCTTCAACACACATAGGAGCAATGTGGCATCTGGGTTTAAATCAGGTGGATCTGAGCTTGGGCAGAGGAATACAAGCTAAGCATCTGAGGAAACGAGCACACTTTGTTGCCCTGGCTTTAGTATAAGGGTGGTAATACTTAGCTGCTGATGCAGCTCTCAAACTTGTGGGTCACAGACCCAGCTGTAGCACTTCTCCATCGAGCTTTCCTGAAAATGAGCTAAGAAGAGTCAAAATCTGACTCTAAACCTCTTATTGGTACAACAAACCTGTTTGATGCAGATCACCAGAGCAGGCAGTGATAAACAGTCTGTACCCTGCCTAAAATCAATACACTATATCTAGTTTATTTACTCTGACGCTGCAAAAATGCTGTTTGGGCTTGTCAGTGCTCATGGCTTTCTCTCACCCCCTTGTCACACACTGCATAATAAAAGAGGAGAAAGCTGTCTCTCTAGTTGTTAGAGGTGGTGTTATTTTTTTTTTTTTTTTATGACCAAAAGCTAACTGAACTGTCACAGCCTGACTGGTATGTGATGTTTACATCTTATAGCCGTTACTGGAGCCTCTTGCCTTTTCCAGCCACTGCCATTTCAGAGGTGCTGAAAGCTGTTGCCTTCATATTAGTTTACTTTCCCATGCAAAAGATTTCCCCATACCCACTTCGTAAACAGCTAAGAACTGGCCAAACTTGATTAACTGATTTGCATAAAATATTGTATAGAAAGTCTTGGAATAGAAATATGCCTGAAAACCCACAGAGCAGTATTTTGCAATATTACCCTCCTTTGCTCAAAGCACTTATTACCCAAAGTCTAGCTCTATTATTCTCTCTCTATTCCAGTTATCATTGTTGTGGAATTCCCCTTCCCAATTCCCTTTCCCTTCTTTAGCTGGAAATTATTGTTGTAGTCCACCAAGAAAAGCAACCACAGCATCAGCAATCAGTTTAAAAATTCTCCTTTAGAGGCTTATCAAAACCTGAGCTATATGTTTTCAGAGAAGGCAGCAAATGAGGCCTGGCCCCTCTAGCTGTTCAGGCAATGCCCTGGGTTAATAGCAACACATGATGAGTCATGGCAGCAAAACACTGAGGATCCCACTCCTGTGCTGTCCCATGGCAAAGGAACATAAATACTAATACTAAACAGTTGAAGCACTGCAACTCCTTCTCTGTTCTCTTGAAGACCAATTACACACCCTGTCTTGTAAACTCTGTAACTTTTGTAAGCAGTAACTTGTGTGCCAAAACTCACTGGATCCCCCTCTTCACTGATTTTGAGCATCTGTCACCTTACACATAAAACATCCGTACCTTAAGCATACAGTTCCTTTGAGTGTGCTGTAAAACTGTCAGTGGCTATAAAGGTGATACTTGAACACTATTCCATCATGACAGATCTGCACTGCACTCAATCTAACCATGCAACATAAGCAGTGACAGAAACAGATCAGGACCACACTTTCCTTTTGCTGCCAATCACCAATTAGGGGGAGGCTTATGTTAATATTTTACTCTAAACACTTCAGATTTCTCTTAGAAAAATCAGAGAAGTATGTATCATTTTCCACAGAGAAACACAGGATGCAATTTTTTTACTCCACTGAGGAATGATTTAAAAAAAACAACAGTACACAGATTCTGCCAGTAACAAACATTCAGTAAACATTTTATTTAAATACAGATGATCGCAACATTCAGATATAGGATGCTCACTTGTGCCTGGGCATTTCTGACTGTCAAGCTAGGGACTATATTATAACACACGGATTAGAATCAATGTTTTGGGACAGTTTAGCAGATGGAAAACTCAAATTTTAAAAAGTAACAGCCATTCAAAACTTATGAAAAGACCAATTCAGACCAGTTTCTGAAAGCTTTCCTGCCCCCCATTATTCAAAATATTTTCTTACATATAGAGTTTCATAAAACAAAGCCCCCAGGAAAAATCAAATGCTTTTTGTTGAGACCCTCATCTGTTTTATGGCCATGCTTGCTCTTCTGTCGCTTTCTCTAAGGCCTCAAGTCTTATCTCTCAACTCCCAAGTCTGTAAGACACATAATTCTTCCTATATCTGTTAAGTCTTTTTCAATAGTCACCTATAGAAGACTTAAACGCATCTCCAAACACTGTATCTTTCCTACCTAGCTCCTTCTAAAGTAATCTTTGGCTGTTATCTCTGCTATAAAGACCTCCACTTAAGTCAGTAATACCCAAAAACCTCATCTTTGTCAATGGTGCTACACAATTCTGCCTTACAGAACCATCAAGAGTATGTATCAAGTAGGCAGAACACCAAGCTTCAGGTTAAAGTACCTTCTTGTGATCCATTATTCCACACTCAAACGAAACAAAAGTTTGCAAGAGACAAGATAACTCGGTACAAAGAGCTGTGGTTTTGAGCTACTTTCTCTGCTGCAGGAAGCTAACTCATTTCATGAGCATTACAGAAGGGGCCATCTTCTTTCTAGCCCCATAGCTGCAAGTAACAGAAAAAGCAGCAATAAAAAAAAAATCCCCAAAAACCAAAACCAACCAACCAACCACAAAAAGCAGAACAAACTCCATGTTTACAAGTTGAAGTTTTTTTAACAAGGAAGGACACTTTAAAGCTTTAGTAGATTTGCCATTTCATTCCTTCCACTTTTCCCTTTTTACACGAAGGCACACAAGTACATATACATACAGATTCCACTCCGAAGTCAGTTTACACTGAAATTAAAACATTTGGTAACCACTGCTGAATGAAATACTCATGTTAAAGCCAAGCATCAAAACAGCTGGCAAAAAGCAGTTTGTGTAGGCTTCATTTAAGTTTGAAGTTCTAAACTTCAGTTATCCCCATCTGGATCTGTCCTTTTAGCTTTAAATAGCAGGAAGTACTTAGGACTCTAAAACATTACAAAATACAGTTCTTAAATGGAGATTTTGATGTTTATCAGGCAAAAGAATCAATTTTCATCAGCTGATCCTTGATTTTTTATGATCTACAGTGTGGATAATGGAGCACATTCCATCAAAGTGTTACAAAATTTTGGGAGTGATACAGAATAAGCTGCTGGACTAATAAAAGTATTTTTAAATTTATTTTGTTTTAAATCTTTTATTTGTCTAGTAGCTCCATTATGGGAAAACTCACCTGCCAGCAAATAAATAATTTTTAAAGTTCACCTTAGTTGCACCAAGGTTTAGATGCATCACCATTCACTCCATAAATATTGAAGGCCAAGACTAATTACCTTTCATACTACGCAGGCACTGTTTCCTGCGATTAAGTGACATTGTATGTCCCAATAACCACATGAACAGAGGAGCTGAAGGAAGACAGTGGTTTTCATGACAGCTTTAGCAAGAATTCATAGGTTGCATTGATTATGCCCCAGGACAGGAGAGAACGATGGTAATTCAGATGGGCTCCTCGGAAAAGGTGGATGAGTTTTCTATCTCGTTCCAGCCAGATCTTCACAAAAACTTTTGAAAAGGACTGAAATTCACCACCAATTTGAGCTTGCATGCGAGTTTTTACAACATTCACTGGGAAAAATAAGAATCCAAGCATGGCACCCAACAGCCCTCCGCAGATAAAGTCATTGACCAAATGAGTGCTGTAAGAAGTTGCTTCGGGCAGACACTGTTTAATAGGTCCCCGTAGGCCAAAGAAAAGTACATTACTGGGTCCATTTCGGAGCAGAATAGGCACCAGTCCCCGATAATACTCTCTCACCCCATAGACTTTCAGTACCTTGAAAGCCTGGTAAGTGTTTGTAAATTTATCGTGGTGTTTGTAGTCCTGAAGCAAAGTCTGAACTCGCTCAAAAGGTGTAAGAACAGCTTCTGTGGTCCCTGCAAGTGCTGCTGCCATGCTGCAAGCGACTAGTTCAGGAGCATTCGTGTGGCTATGGAGCAGGGATGAGACATCTTCATACAAGCCAAACATTAAAGCCAGTGTTGTCGTTTTCTGCATTAAGGGAGGAAGGATACCACGATAGAGATTTCGAATCCCGTCCTTCTGCAGCTGATGTAGTGCATCCTTTGTTTTCAAACCATACAACTGCTGTCGAAAGAGGACCTTCTGGATCGGAAAAGTGATTGCTATATTTGTGAAGGCTGCACAGCAGCCGCAAAGATAATGTCTTCCAGAGGTAGCTGTTACATCAGTGCTTAGATATTCCTTTGCCTTCTTTGGGGCAGAACCTTCTGAATCCACCATACTGTTTTTCTTGCTATAGTTCATCTCAATTCTCCTTATCTACATCAAAAAAATGAAAAGAAAGAACATGAGCAGAGCTGCATGTGACCCTGCAGCTTTTTTTTTGTTTTCACACTAGCTGATCATTCCAACAGCACCCGGTACCTTACACCTGAGGAAAGCTCATAAAATATGAAGGAGAAAAGTGACAAACACCAGATTTGACAGATGTTGTACTGTTTTCTACTCAAGTCTCAGAGACCTGAAAAAGTGGCAGTTTTTCCTTTCTATACATTTTCAAACTGAAATAGAAGGAAACCTGGAAGAAAACTGAGGTAGGAACTTTGCAAGTGCTACATCACAGTTAACAAGAGGAAGCTTATACACTGGACTTCCCCATTCACTGTGCCAAATAATTCAAACCGTGAAAGGCCTACTGTCACGCAAATAAAATATACATCACCAGGATGGTGGTGATGGGGAAAAAAGAGAGCCTAAGAATAAATAAACAAATAAATAAAATACATGCTGTAGTACTACAAATTCTGGTTATTCCACTCTGCCTTTCTCTATGGCAGAAAACATCAGATAATTTAAATAACAGTTTGTTAGTTGTGGTTTAACCCAGCCAGCAACTAAACATCACATGCTCATTCTACCCCCTCTGGGAATCAGGGAGGTAAAACTGAGCTAAAAAGTTTAATAATTAAAAAGATTTTAGAAGTATCTTTTAAGGGGCACCTCTCCGCCCCCCCCCCCCCCCAAAAAAAAAAGCAACCAAAAAAACCCAATAGAGAGAGAGAGGAGCCAGCCTCTGAGCAGCATCCCAGCTCCAACCTCCCTCCCCCAGATTTATTGCTGAGCATGACATTGTATGGAATGGAACACCCGTTTGGTCAATGAGGGTCAACTATCTTACTTTGTATCCCCTCCAAACTCTTGTGCACCCCCAGACTGCTTGCTGGCAAGGCAGCATGAGGAACCAAAGAGCTCTTGACTCTGTGCAATTAATGCTCAGCTATAGCTAAAACATCCTGGTGTTACCAACATTATTTTCATCACAAAGCCAAAATACAACCCTGTATCAGCTACTCTAAAGAAAACTAACTCTACTCCAAATCTAATACACAACTGTAATCACAGCTTTAAATTAAACAAGAAGAATTCTAATAGTTTTGAAAAATTCTGAGCATTCCAGTTAAACTGCAGCCTTATCTACAGAGAAAGATTGCTTCCTGAACCCAGACTTTGTTTTCATGTTCTGTCAAGAAGTTTAGGACCTTGAGTTTGTCTTAATCTGAGGTTCTGAAGGACACAGAACCAGAGACAGCTCTACCAAATAAAGCAGAGAAGCACTAAAATAATCATTACCAGGCAACACTTGTTCATCACTTAAAATGGGATTACTTGTTCAACAATTATAAAAATCTGTTTTTGCAGCTGATTCGAATACTAACTTTCATTACAGAACAATCTGAGCTAAGTTGGTAACAATCAAGTGAGGCAGGTGCTGGCTTGCAAACTTCAGATACTACCTGCCAGCAACCAGCATGAGTGTCCCATGATTTCAAAATTGTATTTGAAGCTAGTATTTGTAACTGCCACAAGGACCTGATTCTCAAGGTGCAGCCACTACCGGCTGTTATGTGAATGATGTGTTAAGAGAGGCTATCCAGAAACAAGCTGGATTGCTCAAAGCAACCTAACAGATTATTCTGACCAAGTACACAGTTTCTTCCTAAAACAAAACACATATTTACCTTGACTGGATTTTCCCCTACACTTACATACTATTTAATCCTTTAAGGTGTAGCAAGTGAAAATGCCACTTTAATATTTTACAAAGATGAAGTGTTTCTTTCAATATAAGAAGGAACATAAGAGACAAAGATCTGTATTATATGGCTTATACATCACCATATATGCGGTGGTTTACAGTATTATTCAGATTACTATAATTCTACTTGTATATACTAAAAAAGCCCCATCTGAAGATATGCTAGCCTTAGACAGGGGACAGTGGGTCATGTTAACTAACAGTGTGGAACAGTCTCATCACAGACAATAACAAGATGATTCAAAAGGTCTTTGACAACTAGTCATTTATATGGGTGACAGCTGAGTGAGGCAAAAACCAACAAACAACAAAGACAAAACAAAACTGAGAGAGAGAGACTTTTAGTTTCAGAAGCTACATCCTCCTTTTGGTGTAAGTAGTGGATGTGTGCAGTAAGGAGTTGTTGAGGACTGCAGGATCCTTGTCACGCTTCTGAGTTGGGAACTTGCAACAGCCAAGCATAGCAAGTCCTCCCAGAAGTGTTTATGACAGAACCCTTGTTTTCAGGCACACTTTGTATGGCCTGTACCATCTACGAGTACTTCAGCACAGCAGCCATTTTATTACAATTTAACATTAAAAAAAAAAAAAACAGTTCTCAAATACAAAAAAGTTTTGAATTAACAAAACTGCCTATACAGGTGAACACCTGAAGCTGCTGCAACATCCCATTTATACACAGAAGTTCCCCTCAATGCAGCAGCCAAGTTCAGAGTGCTCAGAGCAAGGGGGCACATGCAATTCTTTTTGTTATCAGGTTCCTTAATCCAAGGTCTGTATATCATATGGTACATATACCTAGTCTCAACCCATTTACCTGCTTAAATGGCCATGGCCTTCAAAATGATGGCAGGTGGCCCACTAGGTCTGCCAAACACAAGGGAAAAAAATAAAGAAAAAGGCATTTGGTATCTGGTATTGCATTATGTCTTTGTATTTCCAATTCTAGCAGGAGATTGCAGTGTTTCCTGTCGTCCTGACTGCCATGGAATGAATGTGCTGCCTAGGAACTCCTCCTGGGCAAGTCACTGTTTAAGATTACCCCAAACGCTTGTTAGAGCAGTAAACCAGAGTAACTCTACAAACACGCCATCGTGAGAAATATTCCCCCTAAAATACTAACCAAACCCTGAAGGCATGCAGTCAGCAAGAAGGCTGACGGATTCGTCCACTAGTTTCTCCAGCCGACCACCTACTGCGATGTCAAACACCAGATACTACCTCGGGCTCAGCGGCCCGCCGGCAGCACCGAGCCCCTCCCCAGCCACGCTCCCAAACTCACCGCATTACCGGCGTGGGACTTCCGCGGAGCCACTGTGCCAGGGCAAAACTCTCCAGGCTGACGCCGCTAAAGAGCCCTCAATGCTCTCGACGACGCTGGCAGGGCCGCCCGGCCTGGGCGGCGGTGTGCCGGGGACGTCTGGTTGCGATCGCAGCCGCTCCGGGACACGGCGCCAGGGGACCTGAAAGCAAGCAGCCAAGCACAAGTCAGTACCGCAGCAGCGGGGCAAGTGGGGAGGCCACGAGAGCAGACGCCCTGCCTTCCGTCTTAGTGGCCAGCAGCGCGGCGCTCTGCCGGGCTGGAGCCTGAGGCGTTACCCCGTTCCCGAAGGCTCTGGGCCCCGAGGGGGAGCTCAAGGTCAGGCCGGCAGCGCGGCGGAGCGGGGAGCGGCGGCTGCAGCCCGCTCCCAACGGAACCACGCTATCTCGCCCGCCCCTGACACAATGCGCTTGCGTGACCGCCGGGCCGCGCCGAAACGAGCCGATCTGATTCGGGGCTCCGGTGGCGGGGCACGCCTCAGGACGTACCTGCGGCCGTTGCCATGGCGGCAGCAGCAGGGCGGGAGCAGATGGGAGTCTTTGCCGGCGGGCTGGGCCCCCGACTTCCGCCGCGGGCGCGCGCGCGCCCGTGTAACGTAACCACACTGCCCGACGCGAAGGATGACGAGAGGCGACGACAAGAGGGCGAGGAAGCGCCGCGCCGTCTCCGCTCCACGTGACCCGGCGCTGCCAGTCAGTAAGATGGCGGTACGTGCTGCGCAGGCCCAGGTCCCATCGTGAGGCGAGCCGGGCTCCTGGCGCAGCGGGAGCGGATGTGATAGATGGAGGTGGCGCGGAGCAGGGGTGAGCGCCGGGCAGTCGAGCGCTCTCGGGCAGCCCCGTGCGACAAGTCGGCAGGGCGGGAGCGGCTCTGCTGCCGTGGATGGGGCATTCCCCCTTTGTGGGTCCCATGAAGCTGTCGGGGAGAGAGCTAGGGGAAAGCCGCGGAGGGGGGCGCTGCAGAACTTGTATCCTGGTGTCTGTCTCCAGCTTCGCAGTTCCCAGTGCTGCTCTGGGTTTGTGTTGGTCCCCGCGGCCCTGTTTGTAGGGCCTGGAGAAGCTGTTTTAGGATCGGGTACTGCATCTCAGAGGGGTGGTCCTGAGAGGACCGCAGGCGCTTGTCGGGAGAACGCCTGCTAGTTAGCCGTGCAGGTTCTGCATGCCGCATTGCCAACCCTCCTAGCAGCAAGACCTGGCCGAACACGCAGCAGCTCTGTCGTGCAGCGTGTGCTCCCAGCTGTGCATCTGTCTTCATGGCCACCCTGCCTCGGCAGCCCCTTGCTCCTGGGGTCTCATGCCATGTCACTGTGTGGGAGCTGGCAGGCGACTCTCCCAGGGAGGTGACAGCAGGGGCTGGGGCAGGGGAAGCTGCAGTGGGAGATCCGTTGCTAGGGGAGGATGGATGTGCTTGTTTACGTGCATCTTTGAACCTTAGAGTTAAACAACAAAGTTCTAAACACCCTGAAAGAGCAGAGACCTCAGAACAGGTTGTTTGGGTATTGCTGACCCATGAATGGGGCTAGCATGAGAGGGAGGAAGGGATGGCCAGGGGTGATGGTGGATGGAGCACACCATAGGATGAGTGCTGAGCCCCCCTTGGTCAGATCCCATGTCTACCTGAGGTGTGCCAGCCTGCTGCCCTTGGCATGCTCCTGTACAGTTCTGACCCTGGAGAGGTACGTTCAGCGGGGACTTAAATGTCAGTGTCAACATGGGGTCCCTGCCCTGAGCTCTCTGGACACACCACTGACTCTGTGTCCTCTCCTTTGCAGGTGCTGAAGGGGCTTGGTAGCCTCCCAGTGGAGCTGTGGCAGCTCATCTTAGCCTACCTATGCCTCCCTGACCTGGACTGCTGCAGCTTGGTCTGCATGGCCTGGTATGAGCTCGTCCTGAGCCTGGACAAAACAGGAGGCGGCTCTGCCTCGGCTTCCTTGAGCACAGATACCCCAACTGGCCTAACCAGCCTGTGGAGCCACAGTACTGGAGAGAGGCCTTCAAACACCACTACCTGACCTCCAAAACCTGAACCAAAACCATGCAGGATATGCAGTCCTCCAGCTGCATCTCTCTCTTCCAGAGGAGGAAGGGCTGGTGCCAGCTCTGTGTTAGCACAGGGGCTGAGTTCAGCAGGTGCCAGCCAGTCCTTGGCACTGCCAGCCCCTACAAATGCCTTGTGCTGCTGCCTGGTGCACATGAGGAGTAGAGCAAGGTGCTGCTGAAGGTGCCTGTGGAGGCTGTGGGGCAGGCCAAACTGGGGGATGTGGCACTGCTGGCAAGCATTGACCAGCACTGTCCCACTGCTCGCTTCCACAATGTGGTCTATATGCTGTCCCACTTTTCCTAGGTGCTCTACGAGATGAGGCTCGGCAGGGCAGAGTTGTGGGGATGGCGAGGCCACCAAAGAATTCCTGAGGATTCCAGAGTATTCCTGAGGCCACGTGAATTCCCTGGGTGTTCAGAGGGCACAGCCAGGGGTTCTTGGACTCCCTAACGCATAGGGGCTCAGGCGCTTTATCCTTCAAATGTCTCCACTTGATTACAGGTTGCCACAAATGCCACACGAATTGCCACTAGCCAAAATGCCTTTGTGTAATAAAGCAAATATGAATATCTATCAGGCTATTACAGATTAGTAGCAGTGATCAGTGATACAGTACTAATCAATAGTATGGCAGCAATCAGTAATAGCAACAACCTTATAGCAGCAACCAGTAACAGTAGCAAACAAGTAGGTAAATATTATTACAGGTTACTGCAAACTTACCACTAATACAATAACAGATGTGCTTATGATGGGTTACTTATGTAGAGAATACAATACACTTATCAGGAGAATTGGACAGATTGCAGAAAGGATCAAACCAGCTGTGAATTAGGAGAGGTCATTGTGGTGGTGTAAACTAGAGGGTTTATTAGTGGTTGAATTGTGATTAAGCGATAATCAAACAGTAATTAAACTGATTTGACAATGATTTGACACTGATTTAAATGATTTAAACGATAATTTAGATGGTGGTCAAACATTCCTGCTTACTATACTGATACCAGGAAATAAAGGGTTAACATTGTGCCTGCTTGCTTAAGCAGTCGCTGTGCTTGGTGAAGCAGAACCACAGGAGTTAAAGTTGCTAGAATGGTGAAGCAGAATTATAGGAGTTACAGCTGCTAGGCAGAATTGCAGTAGATAAGATTCATAGCTTAATATTTAAGACGTTCTTGTTCGAATAGTATCTTTAGAAAGAAAAGGAACAGAAGCTAGCCTGAGTAACAAAATTTATAAACTTGACAAGTTTCTACTTTAAGATGCATAAAACCGGCTTGTACCGAACCTGAGGTTTGGACAGGAGCCGAAACCATTGAGTCTGCGTGAAGGCAAGAGGTTACTGGCGGTGATGAAGGGGAGCTACAGGCCTTCATCCTCACGACCCCCTAACGACCACCACCAGGAGGCACTGCATAGGTGCACCAATGGGACCAATGCCAGAAAACTAATTATAGTACTAGACAGGAATAGGTTTTGCATATGTATTAGGCGTGAAGCAATCTCATGTTTAGGTAATCATTATATGTAATATAAACGAACTGAGTGGCAAAGAGGGGTGCACATGCTTTTGGAGGAGAAACCCCTATGCGTCTCAGCGCTGAATAAAGCATACCTACTTTACAACTCTAGTGAGTTGTGGATTCAATCCATGTATCAATACTTTTAAGTACACAACAGCTGGATATATAAATGTCATTAGTATAGAACATACTTTTAGGTAGGCCTACTGTAAAACATTTCTTACCTCGTTATGATGCCTCATACCAGATTACCTCATATCATATTACCTTGTGTCAGATGCCATATTAAGGAGTCTTTCAGGCTGAGGGAGTAATCTTGAGAGGTATCCCTGCTTGAGGGAGGTCACCGTGGTGCACCCCTAGAGGAGAGCTTGGTGAACTCAAAGTGATGGACTTGTCAACCCCCACTCTTCAGTTTTTGTGTAGGTGCACAGCTATAGCAGTTTTTGTTTTGTTAGCTTTAGCAGTTTTCCCAGCTGAGGCTGGCACTGTTAGTTCCTGATAAGACCCTATATAGCTTCCTAGTCCCTGAGGAGGTCTGGCCTTGCACTGTTTCCACTGCAGGTTTGACTTTAGTCGTGGCTGTGCTACCGGAACCAAAGCACTATTCACTCGATGAGTGGGTGTGTCACTCCATTTAGAAGGGTGCCCAGTCATCCCAGGGGCTTGAGAACAAACTGAATCAACCGCAAAAGGGGGGGCCAAAGGAAAAGTACATGCAGAATGAGACATTCTCAGAGAGGCTTGATTTTGGATAAAAAGTGAGTCTGTTTTAAGGGGCTGTAGCACACCACCACTTTAAACAACCAGTAAATGCTGTTGATTTAAATTTTTCACCTGCAGCAGCTAATAATGATGTTTTTTGTTATTTCATAGCGATTTTATTTTTATGGCCTGTTTCCACTTTTCCAGATCATAGGTTGCCATTGCAGTCCCTTGTATGTTGCACCTGTTGGTGGTATCTCAGGTTTCTCAGTACCCAGCTGTGCTTCAGGGATGCATCTGTGCTTCTCAAGGATGTTTCTGGCTCCCAGGCTGGTGGGCATTTTCCTTTGTTCAGTGATTTTCCCCTTCTCACCAGCCACCTTTCCAACTGCCCATGTGGTGAGGTGTGAGCAACCTAAGAAGGTGGGTGTACAAGAAGTACCCCGGGAGCTGGCAGTCCTTACAGTGTGCACCACATCAGCCCCTCTGCCCAAAAGCCTGATGCTGTCGATGTGCACTCTGCTTCAGCCTGGGCTAGGAGCCCTCAGCTGGGATATCCAGGGTCTTCTGCATACCTAAGCCAGAACACAGTGTTGTGGGCTTAGCCCTCTTGCCGTAGTCCACCCTGACAAGACTTTGGTCCCCATAGACAGTTGCTGACTGGTCTAGAGTGGGATATGCCCAGCATGAATGCTGCGCCCATGGGCTGTGCCTCCAAAAACAAGACTTTCCTTGTGATAAGTCAGTCCATCATTAGCTATAACGTACGCTTTCATTTCCTTTTCACAATTTTATGATGTCACGTATAATATCTAGAATCATAGAATAGTTAGGCTTGGAAAGGACCTTAAGATCATCTAGTTCCAACCCCTCTGCCATGGGCAGGGACACCTCACACTAAACCATGTCACCCAAGGCTCTGTCCAGCCTGGGCTTGAACACTGCCAGGGATGGAGCATTCACAGTTTCCTTGGGCAACCCATTCCAGTGCCTCACCACCCTTACAGTAAAGAACTTCCTCCTTATATCCAATCTAAACTTCCCCTGTTTAAGTTTTAACCTGTTACCCCTTTTCCTATCACTACAGTCCCTAATGAAGAGTCCCTCTCCAGCATCCTTGTAGGCACCCTTCAGATACTGGAAGGCTGCTAAGAGGTCTCCACACACCCTTCTCCAGGCTGAACAGTCCCAACTTTCTCAGCCTATCTTCATACAGGAGGTGCTCCAGTCCCCTGAGCATCCTCGCGGCCTCCTCTGGACTTGTTCCAACAGTTCCATGTCCTTTTTATGTTGAGGACACCAGAACTGCACACAATACTCCAAGTGAGGTCTCATGAGAGCAGAGTAGAGGGGCAGGATCACCTCCTTCAACCTGCTGGTCACACTATCATATCTAAATCAATTTGAAAGTCCTCAGGAGAAAGATAATGCACTGGCATATGGTGGGAAAACTGAGCTGCAAATCTGCTGAAACAGTCCCTATTTGTCCGTGGCCACATGCTGGGTTGCTAATGCAGACATGTGGTGTCTTGCTCAGTAGTATCTCCTGCATTTGGCTGGTCAGTGTGGCTGCATTTTGCTTTTAAGACTGTTGCTCTGGTCTCCATGTGCAGCTGCTGTTGGTGAAATGAGAGCATTTCCCCGCCAAAGCCATCAGTGAAAAACAAATCATAAAAAGCAAACTTACAGCAATCTTACTGGCAATCATAAGAACTCTGCAAGTTGCAATTTCAGACAGGTTTTCACAAGCAGCCTCTCAGAAGCTTATTTGATTGTATCTCTGTTTATTAGCACTTTTTAATTAGAAAAGCAGAAGCTACGATCAAGTCTGAAGCAGGCTAGTGGTCTGAAGGGATTTCTGTGTTACTGTCTTTGGGTACAGATAACTGCATTTCAAAACCTTTCCGCGGTATGACCACTTCTGAGGTTGCTCAAGGCTGCAACCAGATGTTAGGACTGTATGCTGGCTAAAGACCCTGGATATCTGTAAAATTGCCCCATCTCACTTGTCACAAGCTATTTTCAGTCTGCTTTTAGTGTGGTGCACCACTCAAGGAAGAGAAAATAGTGATTTAAGAGATTCTTGTCAAATTAGGAGCACTGAAATTCCAAGCACACTACTCAGCTTTTCTGACCTGGCTCCTCTGCACCTTGTTGCATTACAGTTGGCCTTTTCAGTACATAAGCAGAGATATTTGACCATGCACAATCATCCTGGTGGTATGCCAGCACCCATAAATTTCTATATGTATTGCTTAACAAAGCAGGAAAGCCGTGGTAGGGATGGCTCACAGTTCTGCAAGCACCAGCAAGTCAGATGGTTAACCACAGTGAGAGAACAAGGAATTGATGGTGTCTCTGCCACTGCATTGTCACAACATAATGCCTGTGCAACAGTATGGCACAAATTTTTACATTCTTTGCTTTGCGCTTGATACACTGTGGGTGCAGCATCCTTCACCAAATTTGCTAACAACTCGGGAGAATTGTAGCTCTCCAGGGCACCCACGTAATGTTTGAGGTTGTCTTAACTTCTGATTCACCCAGTAAACCCATGAGTCCATTAACAATGTCCAATAGCCAATACACATCTCTGAATTTGCAAACTCTACTGTGTAGAGAGTGTTGCTAAGGTTTAATGATCTTGGCACATCAGGCCCTGTCTGCTCCTTCCTGTGACTGCTGGGCCTCCCTGAGCAAGTGTTTAATCACATTAAAGTGGCTTAAACCACTTAAACATCGAAGTGATAAACCACGACAACTGCAAAGCTGTGTCTTGCCTCTGAAGTTAAGGAAATGTTCCCAGCATGGAAGAAAGTCGGTAGACACCACTTGTTGCAAGATACTTGCTAACTCGGCTTGCAGCACTGCATCTATGCCTGTGTGAACTTGTTTTTGTGACACCTGAATGTATATTGTGAGCGTGAGCTTGTTTGCTGTGGAAGGACTTGATAGTATGTCCAGGACCACTTTTTCTTGCTTTGTGCAATGAACTCGCTTTATGCTTACTCTCCAGACAGGCTAAGGCTATGTCCAGTTAGACAGTTGCAACTTTGAAAGTGGGCAGCTGCAAATCCATGCACCAGGGATGTGCCAAGTGAAGTTTTGCACATTCAGCCAGTCCAGCATCTACCTCCACAGCAAGCCTCTCTGCATCCTGAAGAGCTGTGAGTTCACCAGCAGTGGGAATGCCTCTGTAACTGTGGAGGGCTGCCCAAGCTCTGACTGTAACTGAGCCTGCAAGCACCTGGCCATGCTGGCCAATCCCAGTCAGTGTCCATACGGGAGCCTGACCCAGCTGGCTGCCCTTTGGCCAAGTGGGATGTCTGGGGGAGAATCACTGCTGGGGCCAGTGAGAACATGGGAGATTGTTGTAGGGTAAGGACAAAGCAGCTTCTTCTCCACTGTGGGTGCTCACGCCCTGCTCGGCTCAGCCCAGGAAGGCACTGGATTCAGAGACAACCTGCAGGCAGCAAAGGAGGAGGAATCCCCAGCCCTCAACCCAAACTCTAGTGACAGTGACTTAAACAGTGACAGTGCAGAGAATGCTCAGGCTGCCTACAAACTGCCCTCTCAAGCTCACAGTCTGAGTGACACAACTGCTAATGTTATGGACAGCAGGCTTCAAAGCAACAGACTGCACACCCTTCAGAGGGACCTTAAACCCAAGTCTCTGCAGCAGGAGCTGCAGCAGGACGAGGCCCAGTTTTTGGCCAGCTCTCTGCAAGGCTGCATCATCTGACAGTGCTTTTTTAGGGATGGGAAGGGAGGACTATTCATTTATTCACAAGGCCAAGCAAAACGGGAAGGAAGCATCTTCACGGATGCTACGCATACAGAACAGAAAGGTGCTGTGAAGACTGCTGTGAGCCCTCTTCTCTCTCCCTCCTGCTCCACTGTCTCCCTTTCTATGCATTGCCTGTGTTAATCAGCCCAAATGTGTGTTCTTTCTGCCTGGCCCTTCTTTCTAGAAGCTGGCACACATGTCACACCAGGCTTTGCAGCGCACAAGCAGCTTTCCATTCCCTGGCATGGCTGGTAGCCTGCACTGCTCTGGCAGGGTGGTAGGGGCTTTCCTGAGCTGCCAGACCTTGCCTGAGCAGGCAGCAGTGAGAGGAGGGGCAGCCATGCTGGGGCAACCAAGGACACCAAGGACACAGCTGCCTGGCCAGACAAGATGGATGGCCCCTACACTGCCTGCACTTACCCTTGCAGCAGAGCAGCAGCTTGAAGCGCAGCACCCAGACCTACACCCCCAGCCAGCAACAGTGATTGTGCATTGCTTGTGATCACATGCCACATGCACTGCTTTCCCACCCTGGTTCACTGCTGCAGAAGCTCCTCCACTCACTTCGCAGCCTGGTTGGAGTGGAGCCATCTCTGGTGAGAGCTCCTGAGAGGATGCCGAGGCAGTCTGTGGGAGGCACTGTGCTCAGTTGGTACTTTTATTTCATGATCAGCCTGGTTGCTCTTCTCTGGATCTCAACAGCAAGCCAGAGATTCAGGATCACACTGGGGAGGAGGAGCCGGTGGTGGGGTTGGGGCCCTTGGGCTTTGTTCCTTCCAACAGGAGGCAGGTGGAAGCCCAGGGGACAGCAGGTGACACCTATACTCATGCGCAGCAGGGCCCACATGTGCTCTGCAGGCTGTCATTTCCAATGCAGCACTACCTCTGCTCCTGCTACTGTGTTAATGCTTCCCACCATCAACCATGGTCACCATCTGCATGCTGGTTTTGGGGCTCCTCTCAGAGCAGCAGTCCCGTGGCTGATAAAGCCTCTGACCTCATCCCTGGTGTGAGGAGGATGGTTGAAGGAGGCTAAAGCCCAGACTCTTCTGTGGCATCAAACGAGGTGGGCTTCAGCTGCTGCATGCTGCTTCTCCTGTGCTTTTCTATGGGGCACAGGAGCCTGCAGCTTGGAGCCCCTCTGTTCCTCAGCACCTCTGGGGCAGGGAGGCTGCAGCAGCTTGCAGTGGATAGCATGCCTCCTTGTGTAATGTTCTGTGTGGTGCTGGGAGAGCTGAACAGAGGGTGGTTTTCAGGAGAGTAAGTTTAATCCTGAGGAAAGTCCAGCTCGGGAGTAGGGATAACAGTGAGTGCAGGTAACCAGTGGGGAGGAGAAGCCAGGCTGCAGGAGGCAGGACTTGCTTTTCCTTGTCAGTAGTTTCCCTGTGGCTGCAGCTGTGGCTGGCCACTCCTGGAGGCAGGACCCTGGCTGGACAGACATGGGGTCTAATGTGGTGGCTGTTTGGATATTCATGAGCGTCTCCTGCCATTTGAATACTCTTACAGACGTGTGCTTCCCTGCGCCTCTTTGGGCTTTCGCCTTCTTGAAAGTGGTTCAGCTGACCGTAGCTCTGCTCTGCTTTGCATGTGCCTTCCTTTCCCACTGTGGTTCCCTCTCCCTGCACTTCACTGTGCAGCTGCCCCATGCCCTCCTGCTAGGCGTGGGCAACAGGCCGTGACGAGTAGCCAGCCAGGGGGACTGGTGCCTCTGCAAAGACCTGCTGTGCTGGCATCAGTCCAAACCTTGAGCAGGCCACACTGCTGCTGGCAACTTTCTTCTCTTCCTCCCTCAGTGGGAACCTTGCTGCTGGAATAGCAGTGAATGATAACAGGTGAGGCCAGATCACAGGAATGGGAATGAAAATGATTTTGTTATGTTCAGTTTGTTTCTGTCTTTAATTCTCTGTTCAACTGCAAAATTTACCTTGTTGTGGTTCTTGGGTGACTTTCGGTTCAATAATCCCCTAGTCTCCATTTTCTAGTTGGCATTTTTATTGTTGATGCTGGGAGCATGTCTTTCTGCAGTGCGTCCTCCAAATTATTGTTCCCTTTGTCTCTGGCCCAGCTGGGGCATGGAACTGTGCTCTAGAGCAGTCTAACATGGAGACTGCTTTTTTCCCCTCCCATGCTATCCAGTTTATAAAACTGTGATTTCAGTGATGCTTTCCCATTGTCCTGACACCTCTGAGTGGTCTTCCACTGTGCTCTACATCTCTGACGACAGGGAGGTGATGATTACTGGAACTGCTAATGACTGGTGGCCTGTGTGGGAGACCATTGCTAAGGAAGCTCCTGATGCTCAGGCTCTGGCGCAGGCAGTGGGAGTTTTCCAGTGGGGCCAGGTCTCAGCTAGCGAGGTGTCTGCTCTTCCATGTGCAGCAGGCCTATGCAGTCACCTTGTCCTCCCTGCCTTGCCCTAGGAAATGTCATCTGCGAGAACCAGTGGGGTGGAGCAGGTATCTGCTGGTGGGTGACTCAGTCCTCAGGAACAAATTCATCTCTTACAGCTGCTTGGGCAGCGTGGTGATGGGCGAGTGTGGGAAGGGCCTCATTGAAGGGAACACCGTTTATGGTAGGGAAACAAGCCTTGCCTTGCTGGGCTGCCCTCTACCTCTGGCACACCCCAGAGCTGTGGTGGGAGCCCAGGAGAGGGTTGGCAGTGGCGCACAGAAGGCTTGTCAAGGAGCAGCAGCAGCCCAGGCCAGAGCAAGCACTCCCAGAGGTCTTGCCACCAGCACTGCTGTGCTGCTGCTCACAAGAGGCCCTCTCCCTTACCACTGCTTTCTCTCCAGTGGAGGGCAGGAACTTCCCTCTGAGCCTTGAGAAGGAAGCCAGCCTAGCATGATCACCCTCATGCAGGACAGGGTTGAAGGAGAGGATGCATGGTCCCCATGGGACAAGGTGAGTTGCATCTGCTGCTGTCCTGCACCAGCTAACTAAGGGGCAGACTAGTCTGGCAGGGTCTGTAATTCAACAACTGGGCTAACGTGTGACAGAGGCTAAGCTCCTTATGTGGTTTGCTCAGGAGACTGGAAATAGCTTGCTTTTTTTTTTCTTTTTCTTTCTTTTTTTTTTTTTTTTTTTTTTTTAAGGGGTTTTAAAGCAGCTGCGGAGAGAGAAGTGCTGCAGAGAAACCCACACTGCCAGGGCATGGATCTGCATCCTGGAGCAGCTGAACTTCTCTTTGGCCCTGTTTGGGACAGAGATATAGCACAGGTAGTCACATAGCATGGTTTTGTGTGCATCTGTCATAATGCTGGCCACGGTGGTGGTCTGTAGTGCTGGCAAACAGTGTGAGCCTCTTGCAGTGAGGGTAAGGTACACAGATAGGGAGTTACCAGTTACCAGAGGTTTGTGGATCAGCAGTGGCCAGGGCAGGAAGAAGGTGGCTGTAGAGGCTGGCTACCGTGGGCATGACAAAGCTGTGGCTCAGCCTGCTTTAGAAACTGGAGAATACATCCGGGCACATGAGTCCAAGCTGCAGGGAAACCCAGGTTGGTGCTCACAAAGCTACACACTCCCTGGCCCCAGGGACTCCCAGCCCTGAGAAGGAGAGAGACCAGAGCCACCTGTGCATGGAGCCGGTGGACAGGACTGTGCCTGGCCATCCCACAGAGCCCAAGGGCAGTAGGAATTTACCTCTTGGTTGCAGGACTTGAACCAGGGGACTTGAGCTGGGGTCAGAGCAAGGACAGTGCCAGGAAAGGGCAGAGGTGGAGAAAAAAAGGCTCACAGAGTTGAGTCAGCCCAGTGGGACCAAATCTGGGCTGAAGGATCTCTGTGAGCCCCTTGTGTAGGATTAGCTTTCATGTGTGCTCAAAGAGGAGCCCAAAGAGGACATCATCCCACCTGCATTGCATATGGACTGACTACCAGCTGCTTTGAGGCAGAGCTGGGGGTCTCCAAGCACTGCTAAATTGATGGGCCATGCCACCCTACACTGTAGGCAACAAGGGCCGTGGCATGTGGATGATGTCCTTCAGCCTCCCACACCTCATCAGCCACCAGATCAGCCACAACAGTGTCTATGGGGTGGCGGTGTTCTGCCACAAGGATGCCGGTTACTATCCCCGGGGTCAGGGGTGCTACAAGAGTTTACAGGAGGAAAGGGAGGGTGCTGCTGGGGAGAATGACCCTGACAGTGAGGAGTACCCAGCTGTCCACCATCCCATCAACGTGGCACTGGTGGAGTTGAACAGCATCGACTACAATGGAGGTGAGCTCAAGGCCTGCCACTTTTCCTGGGCTCCAGAAGAAGAGGTGGTGAGCAGAACAGTGTGTTGTCCTGGCCCACCAGCAGTGGGGCTCCCAGGGCCTACTTAAGCAGCCACTGGACCAGAAGGACCCCAGACTATGGTGGTCTCAGACCTGAGTATGGGTGGGTTGTTTTCCCACTCGGAAAGTCATATTGTGAGAGAAGAAACAGTGCAGCTTTTAGACATAGAAATACATTTGTGGCCATCATGACTGAGGCTGCAAGCTCTTGACCAATAGGTCTTTCTGTTGGCAGCTGCTGGCTTTCATGTCAAGAGCAGCAAAGTGCTCAATGTCATCACCAATGTCATTCATGCCAGCTGTGATGGCAGGGTGGTGGTGGTGCAGGGCAGCCAGCTGATATGGGTTGCCAGCAACAGCATTTCCTATAACAGCTGGGGAGGCACGTTGGTGGAGCCTGAGTGCTAGGTGGATATATGTGGAAATGGCATCTACAAGAACTGCAGCCACAGCATTGTCTCCAGGGGAGAGGGCATCATCACAGAGAATGACATCACTGGCAACCACCAGTGTGGTGTTCAGCTGCTCCAGGCAGCAGATATGAAAGTACATCCTGTAGATTGCTGATGGGGCACTGACGTGTATCCCTGCAGCTGGGAGCAAAGTGAACTCTCCATCCCTGGCAATGTCCAAGGCCAGGTTGGCTGGAGCCTTGGGCAACAATGAGCCTTGCCCATGACAGGAGGTTGGAACTAGATGATCTTAATGTCCTTCCCGATCTGAACCATTCTATTACTCTGTGATTGCATTGAATTGGCAGGCTGTGTGAGCTGTGCTGAAGAACTGGGGTAACTGGCACTTGAACTAGAATTTTTAGAAGTTAGATGCAGTGTTCCAGCATCTAGTCTGTTCCCAAGGTTAGTACCTGGCTCAAGGCTGCCTCCACTCTGTTCTTTGTTGAGATGAAGCCAGTGTGCACCAAAATGATAGATAAATGCAATTTAACTCATCATGAAGGACCCCTAAAATGAGTATACAGAAATCTCTGCCAAGACAAATCTCTTCATGAGTCCTGCAGGGACTGCAGACTCTTTCTGAAAACAATGCCTGTAGAAAAACATTGTCTTCTGGACTAGAAACTAAAACCCACTGCATTTTTCATGGTCCTGGCTGTCTGGTCTCCTGGAGCATATAGGGAGGATTCATGTTGCAGGGTTTGTACTGGCAACAGAACCTTCTTGAAGTACTGGCAATGTCATGGTGCTGTTTGGCAGAGCCAAACAGACAGCCTGAGAGCAGGTGGGATGGTCTGTGCTGCTGGGCTGGGGAGAGTGCTCAGCAAGGAGCACTGCAGTAGCTGTAGCTGCAGGGAGGAGAAAGGACTGATCTTCCAGACGATGGCACAGTGGTTCTTGGGGAAGAAGAGACTCCCAAGTAATTTCTTTTCATATACAAAGAAGTGACAGCCTCTAAGTCTACTCTGAATCTCGTAATTCAACAGGAGGGTTTCCCTTACCCTTTGTGACTTTGGTCCCTGTATCAATCATCCCTAGGTCAATTTTACCTTGATTTTCCTTTGTATGGGTCATCCATGTAATACGTAATAGAGTGAACCTTGCCACTGAATTCTGTTAAGTCGTGCCTTTATAGATCACATTAAAACTGCTCGTGCTAAAACCTCTGAAGAATGGTCTTTAATGCTAAGCTGCTCATTTCACAAAAGCACCTAGCTGTGGGTGGCCCTGGTTGCACAGGGGGACTGGACAAAGTGACCACAAGAGTTCCCTTCCAATATCAGCAATTCTGTGATAGAAACATTCCTATCTACAGCCTACAATTCCCATGGGATTAATTCTCCTTTACTCACAAATTGGATGTTTCTGTCACTTCTGTGAGTGACAGAGCTGTGAGTAGTGAGTCATTAAGATGTGCAATGAGTTACTCTTAAATCCCACAATTATGTATTAAACTCAAATTACAATCTGGAGCAAAAACACCTCAAAGAGAAGACTGCTCTTGACAGCCCATGTTCCTGTTTCACGTAAGCTTTTTCTCTTGGAGGTGATCCTCAGCTTTTCACAAGCCCGAGATTCCTACAGCTTTGCTTAGTATACACTTGGAATGAGCCTTGCGGCCCAGGACTAGACTGAATAACCCAGCAGTCTCTCTCCCAGGTACTGGGAATCCTCAGTAGTCAGTGGAGGACCTGCAGTTTCAAACCATGTTTTCTTGCTCCAGCACAACCTACATCTTTCTCCCCTTATACAGACAGGAAAAAAGAAAAATGTTTTACTACAGCTTTTTCTACATAAATGAAAAAAATAAGCTGTTTAATGAAGTGAACATCTGTTGCAACCCAGCCTTGAGAGAGGATTTCAGCAGGGTTATGTGCTGATGCTGGACAGCCAAACCCAACAGACAAAACCACTCTTATATGTGGAACAGCTGTTGAGAAAACAACTGCTTTGCCCCTCCCAGACATTTTAGTTCATTTTCTTGCGCTTCATTTGGTTCCCTGATGCCTTCTGAACAGGCAAGGGGAGAGAAAGAGTGCCCATCTTGTGGTTCTGATCATTTTCAAATCCTGGCAGTCCCTTTGCCTTGGAAACCTTCAACCGCATGGCCTTTGCAATGTCCATCATCCTGGAAAACACCAGAGAAACACTGTGTGAGCAGGGAGCACAAGTCTTCTGTCCCATGATACTGCACAAAAAAATCAGCTAACAGGCTTTTGCCACAGGGCAGATGCCAAAAGGCACGCACAAGCAGGATGTGTTCTCTGCACGTCAAGGATAGCATGGAGACAGATGCTGAAAGTATTCAAAGACTATGAGGTAGATCCTTCCTGGAGAGACTAGAAGGCTACTGAGTTCAGCACCAGCACCTTGGATAGCATTCTAAACCCACACTGCTTTACTCAAGCTTACTTGAGAGAAAAATAATGCTTCCCTATGAAAAGAACAGGCAGTCTGTTCAGATGCTTCTGCTGGCAGCCCATGGTTGCTTCCCTGTGCACTCATCTCTTGTGTGTTGTATGATGAATGGAACTTGGTACAGCAAGAATGTCTCTTAGCAACTAAAATTGAGCATTCTTACCTGTAAGAAGAGAGGCTTGGCTGAGATGTGTAATATGAAGAGTTTGGGCAAGAAGGCACAACCGGAACACACCTTCAAGCTCGTCCAACAGAGAGAACAAAGTGCAACTGAAGGGAAGCTAGCAGAGAAATGTATGTCCCAGCTTCATCTGGGGTCTTGAGAACACTCAAGTCCCAGAATCCTCCCAGCGACTTTGTTATCTTTGAAAGACATACAGATTGAGTTGGGAAGGGTTCTTCAGTCAAACCTCTCACTTGAAGCACGGAAAGCACGGATCATCCCATCAAGGGACTCGGGGCTATGTGTCTCTCCACAATTTTTCCAACAGGTCCTAGCCTCCTCCACCTTTTTCTCAACAGCATCCTATGGCCTGTGTTCCCAGCTTCAGTACAGTAGTTAAGAACAGAATCTTGGTATCAATTGCAAAAAACCAACACGGATTCCTTAAAAAAACTTAATTGCAACAAGGAAAAGAAAAATAAAAAAAAAAAGGAAAATGAAAAAAGGAAAAAATAATGAGAAGAACAAAAAGAATGAAGAGAAAGGGGGAAGGAAAAAAGCCAAGAGAGAAAAAGAAAACAAGAAACAGAAGGTGGAAACTAATAGCAAACACGTCTGTTGAACCCACTACTACACATCAAAGAACAAAGACTGCAACTGGGGACAAACTCAGAAGTAACTGCATCATGGCTGACTAAGGAGCTTGCAGAACCAGGAGATGACTAAGGGCTCAGATTACCTCCAGATATTAATGGACCTTAACATTACACCCCTCAGCCAGAAACCCCAGGATATGCCACAGTGTTTTTCTGAGTTGCAGTGAAGGGTTTGTGTCCCTCCGCAGTTCTTATCCAGATGCACAGTCACTAAGCAATCCTGATAAGAAAGACCACAGTCTCAGTGACTGTGTAAAGGAAGCACATGTCCTTGGTGTAACCATTGCCCACAAAACAGAGCCAGGGTGGGAGACAGATACTAATCAGGATGGCTGAGCAGTCACTAACAGAGCCACCTGATCTTTTTCCAGACACAGTTAATAAAAAAGTGCCTGATGATCTGATGTCTGCTTGCTGGGAGGCTTCTCATCCAGCACAGTGTAATTCTTGAGCAGTTCTCATCGGTGCCTGATTAATTCAGCAGGGGCCTGAGAGACAGTACAGTGCAGCATAGACTGGAATGGAACTCCCAGAGCCAGACGAGCTGGCAGCAGGCTCCGACTGACACCTGCTGGGAAAAGCAGGTCTTGCAGGTAATGGCAGGTGCATAACACTTACTCCTTAGAAAATTAGAAGTCTATGGAGCAACTGCTCCGAAGAGCTAACACAGCAAGGGTTCTTTGCCCTGAAACTTATTCTGCAAGCTGTTTTCTACCCGTTCACTTTCACTAGATGTAATTTGGCAAACATTTCAAATACTGCCAGCATATGCCATATGGCCAGCATTTCTGCCTACAACCTCTCCCCATGATGTTTGTTGCAGAGTTCCCAAGTTTGTCCATATTTCAAAAACAACCTTCTTGGAGCCAAGCCCAGAATGGATAAATTTCAGGGGCCTGGGATTCCTTCATGTAAATACAACTACATGCTCAGTGTGCAACTGTGGGAGAAACCCTGTTTCTAGTTTTCCTGTTGCAGGCAGTTGTAAACCTTACAGGTACCCAAACTGGTACCTAACAGGGACTGGAGCTCTGCAGGACAAGGGACACAGCAGGCAAGAAGGTCACGAGTGATGTGATTTATCATGCAAGAAACAGAGCTGCATGGCAGTGAACAGGTCCTGTCCTAGAATCTGCCCCACCTGGCTACTTCTATACTGCCTGCCTTTATTTCCTTCCCTGCAGAACAGCTGAAGAGCCTTTTGATGCAGTTGAGGACCTCTGTGGCAAGCACCTTTCTAAGTTTCAGATGTGCAACCACTCCCCTTTACGAATAACAGGGCTTAAAAATAATGCTTCAACAAACTCATGAAAGAGAGTCCAGTTATAACAAAAGGGACTTGCTAGCAGGTATTATTGAACTACTTAGGTACCAGAGGGGCTCCAGAGCGAGATCTCTCCTCAGAGCTCTTTGTAGGATGATCACAGCATATCATAGCAGGTGTGAACAAACATGACAACTCACCTGCTTTCTTGGAGCTTCAAGTCATTCTGCAGGACCGTGAGGTCGATTTGGAAGTTGTTAATGTGCAGAGCCAATGCAATGACATATGCTGCGATTTTAGCCTTCATTGATGCGGAGATTAAATTCTGGACACTGCATGGCAAGAGGAAGAACACATGAGATGTGAAGTGTCAGTGAACCCATAACACAAGCCCCACTAGGTGCAGACAGAACTGGAGCCCCAGTTAGATATGGTGGACTTTTCCTAGACACCAAAGAAGAGCTCAAAGCAGCACAGACCTTCAATCACAGGGGCTTAACAGACTTCTTTGTCCTCCTCAGGTGCCTGCTTCTGTTCAGAAGTGGGGGCTCCTGAGGTTATCACTATGCAGCCTTGACTAATCCACCAGCTAATGACACTTCAGTCTCTTT